GACGCCGATGCCACAGTTTTGCCACTGCTGTTAATGGCAGCTTAACAAAACAAGTAACCAGAACTGATCTTATCTTTTGAAGACTCATACCTGTAATTTTCCTAAAATGAACTGTCCTAATCTCACTGTCCCTTCCTCCGGAAATGTCCCAGGGCTGTGACAGATGCCCCAAACCTCCAGGTAGGGGAATTTGTTTCTCCCAAAAAGATCGTGTGTACTGACTGTCTATTGAAAAGCTTTGAAGGGTCACTCTGAGAAAAGAACTAAAAGATAGGGCTACTAAATATTTCAGCATGTCTCTGTATTTTTTTAGTTTAACTACTTACCTTCATGGTATTAGTCAAGTTCCTTAAAAGGAATTTCAGCAGAACTCTAATGTGCATGCGATATCATCCATACCTAATTTTTTAAAGTCTTTGAATGTTTTACTATTTTCCACAATTGTCCTAACTTCCTGACAATGTAATTATATCTCTCCTTCCTTATTTCCCTGAAACTTGAGTGACTGAACTCAAATTTTGCAGTGGCCTGAATTGGAAGTAGAGAAGTTGGGTTATTTCCTTAGAACTGTCAGTTTGTGCTAATGAATAAAATATACTTTAATTTGGGAAAGTGAAATGCTGGTCACGTGGCGCATGTAACTTACATACAGGACAAATTCATATGACTCCTGATTGTTTCTCTCACTCTCTTTCACACCATCACTCTAGCTCAGCAACGACAGAGTGTGTTCCTTCAGGAAGACCCCTGTTGTTCTGGCCAGCTCTGTGGCTGGGAGAACTTCACAGGAGCTCTAGAATTCTTCATGGAGATTCGCTCCCTCATAGGCTTCCTGATGCTTTGATAGAACATTATGCTAGCTGCATCGTCGTGAGGTGCCATCGAGTCACCATGACTCATAGTGACCTTGTGCACAGCAGCACGGTGCCATGCCCTGTCCTGCGTCATCATCACTTCTCTGCCTTGCTCAGGCCCATTGTTACAGTCACTGTGTCAGTCCATCCTGCGGGTCTTCCTCTCGTTCCCTGACCCTCTCCCTTGCCCAATATCATGTCTTTTTCCAAGGTCTGACAACATGTCCAAATCATGTGAGACAAAAAGTTTCACCATCCTTGCCTCAAAGGAGCATCCTGGTTGCGTTTCTCCAGGACAGGCTTGTTGGTTCTTTTGGAAGTGCATGGGCTACTCAGTGCTCTTGGCCAATGCCACAATTCAAAGACATCAGTTCTTGGGTTTTCCTTAGTTACTGTCCAGCTTCCAGATGCATATGAAACAATTAAAAATGCTATGACTTGATTATAACCACATGCAAACATAAGATTATTATTTAGTTTATGTGCAGAAATGCTTAACTAATACTCATTTGGTGATCAAGTCTAAAGATCTGAGCCAGATTCCATCTCTGTAAAAGGGCAATGTATTGACGTTGAAACATACATTAGCTCCTTATAAGTTTATAACTCTGATAAGTACCATTATGAGGCAAATGACTGGCCCACAGCCTTGAAGGTGACTCTGGTGGCACTCCGTCTAGCACCCACCCCCTCATCTGCAAACTTAGGCCAGCGATTCCTGCTTCCTATGGCTATTGGAGATTCAGATGAGGAAATATCTATTAAAAGCCTTTTGTAAACAGTACATCTTGGACACAGAGGAGTAAAACACTGAAAGGGAAAAAAAACAAAACACTGAAAGGAGACATTATAGCTTTGTGATTAAGAGCTCAGACTCCAGAGTTGAACTTCCTGGTAGGAGGAGACAAACTCCTGTTTTGAAATTTGCTCTGAGTTGGGACCCAGTCTTCAGGAGCTTTTCTGATCCAGCGGGGTTAGATTCATAGGCATCAGTCAGCTCCGCCACTTTTGTTGTCTCATGATTGATTTCCAGGTGGGGACACTAAGCGTGAGGTCACCGTCTAAGCTGCCGAGTCTTTGCAAGTCCAACCTCTCTGTGATCCAGAAAGCCAGCTGAACTCAGTGAAGGCAGACACAGTGCAGCACAGGAGAGAGGGCTATTCTTTATGTGCCCTAAATTCCACTAGGAGAAACTGTAAAGGGCTCTTAAGTTTATAATATGGAGATAAAGTAGATTATTTTATATTATTTTGGTTTGTGCTTTGCAAGTTGTTGATAGAGAAACTTAAACTGTGTGTTAGGATTCTTATGTGGCTGGCTTGCTGGTCCAGTGACTCAACATTTTGTTGAATCTTTTGGATATTTAAAAAAAGAAAAAAGGGAGGACGAGGGGGAATCAGTTGATTCTATAGCACCTGAAGCTGTAAAGTATCGAGTATGTAAACCTTGACCGTGAGAACCTCAGCAGCCAGCCAGCCTTCCATCTCACCGTTGTCTCCATCCACCTCCTCCAGACTCCTCTCCCATCCGTTCTAGCACACGGCGATCCCTCCTGAGAACCCATAAAGCTCACTGACCCCATTCGGCCTTTGGAAAAAGCATCAAGGTGGTTACCTAACTTGTCCTGGGGCGCTGCAGTGCTAAGCGCTCCTCGGGGGGCCCTGAGCAGGCCCACGAGGCGTGCTGGGATTCAAGTGTTACCAAGTGGGCATCCTGTCCAATGACCCTCCTGCACACCCAGGACGGGGGCTGGCACACGGAATGGTGCTTCGGTGTCAGCTATGTTTTGGCAGGAAGTCCTTGTGGTGCGATCGTTGAGCCCTCAGCTGCTGACTAGACCCACCAGTAACTATCTAGGAGCTGGTGACCATGAACATTATAGTGGAAATCCTCACAGGGTACTTCTACTCTATCATGTGGCGTCACTGTGAGCTGAAACCAACTCAGTGGCACCTGATAACATCATGATTGTTGTTGTTGAGTACCATCGAGTCAGAACTGGCCCATAGCTGACCCTCCAGAGGGTTTTCAGACACAGTAAATAACACAGGGAGATTACCCATTTTTCTCCCATGGAGCAGCTGGTGAATTCGAACTGTGTACCTTTGCATTGGCAATACAGTCCCTTACCCCTAAACCACCAGAGCTCCTTGACAGCATGACAGGGTGGATAATAAGTACCCCAATCCATATTTCCTAAGAATTCAGTATTTACTTAGACCAGGAGGCAGTCGTCAGAACAGAGCAAGGAAATACTGCATGGTTCAAAATTGGGAAGGGTGTATGCCAGGCATGTGTCCTGTCTCCATACCTTTTCAGCCTACATGCAGAACAGATTATCCGGGAGGCTGGGCTCTATGAGAATTGTGGTATCAGGATTGGTGGAAAATTTATCAAAAATCTGCATTATGCAGATGACGTAACCCCGATTGCTGAAACTGAGGAGGACCAGAAGCACTTGGTGCAGCAGGTCAAGGACTGCTGCCTTCAATATGGATTGAGGCTCAATATCAAGAAGACAAAAATTCTCACCACTGGGTCAATTGGCAGCATCAGGATGGATGGTGAAGAGATTGAGATTGTTAACCGCTCTAGTTTGCTTTGCTCTACAGTCAACACTCTTGGCACCAACATCCAGGAAATTAAAAGATGTATTGTGATGGGAAAGTCTGCTGTTAGGGACCCCTCCAAAGTACTGAAGAGCAATAGTGTCACTCTGAAGACTAAGGTGCACCTGATAGAGGCCATGGTCTTTGCAACCACTTGCTATGCATCAGACAGTGACTAGGGAGGATAGAAAGAGAATTGATGCCTTTGAGCTGTGGTGTTTAAGAAGACTATTGATATACCATAGACTGCTAAGAAAACGAACAGGCAAAAAAAAAAAGAAAAGAAAACGAACAGGCTTATCCTAGAGAGGGTTAAACCAGGCTGCTCTTTGGAGGCAAAGATCCTGAAGCTTCGTCTGACATACTTTGAACATGTTGCAGAGAGACCAGTCCTTGAAGAAGGACGTCATGCTTGAGAGGGTGGAGGGACAGCTCAGGAGAGGAAGACCCTCTATGAGGTGGATTGATTCAGTCACTGGGGTAGTGGGAGTAGGTGTGTTGGAGACAGTGAGGTTGGCACTGGATAGAGCAGGGTTTAGGGCTGTTGTACATAAGGTCACTGAGTTGCAGGCGACCCAACAGCACATGACAACAGTATTCATTGTTAATATGAGGAACCAAGGGCATCTTAACAGATATGACAAGGAATTGCAGACAGTGACCGTTTGAGGTGATAAGAAGAAATGACAGCCACAGAAGAGAGACCTCCATGAACCCAGTTACATGTAGGACACGCTTTGGGACGGCAGCAGCAGTGATATTTGAACTGGAGGATTGGATGTGAGATGGGAAGGGATTAGATGTGAAAGGGAAACCAATATTGGCAAGACTGAGAACTTAGGAACACTTAGGGGCTCAAGGCTTAAGTGCCTGCGTGCACATCTGAGGGGCTTGCTTGACTGTATTTTTTTTATTTATCTGAATTACAACGTTTTAACTCTCCCCCACCTCACCTCCAAAAAAAAGAGAAATATAGACAGAGGCTCTTTGCCCAGGCCTGGCTGAGGAATGAGTAGGGAGATAAAGGCATTTCAAGGACCCCAGGTGGTACAAGTCAAGCAGGTGCTCATCTGCTATCAGAAGGTGGGAGGTTTGAGCCCAGCAGCTGCTCGGTGGGAAGATGTGGCAGCTGCCATAAAGATGCCTCGGAAACCAACAGGCTCTTCTGCTCTCCATCATGTGAGGTCGGGTGAGTCGGAATTGCCGAAAGGGTAGTGCATTTGATCTGCTCCTACTGTGTACGGAGAATTAATGACGATAATCAGTGTTGGTGAGCGTACTGTTTCCTGGACCTGTTTCTTCCAGTCACTCAGGGGGCCTTGAACCTGTGCATGATCATAGTATTGGTAGAGAGGAGGATAGGGACTTGTTTTGTTTGGTCTCAGAGAACGAGTGGACTAAGGGGAACCAGCGTCTCATCCATTGCTCCCCTGAGAATGGAAATTTTCCACGATGCTTGAGAAGTGACAGACAGAAATCTGACAGCCTCCTTTTGCACAGCCTCTGAGTTAACGCCAAAGGTGCCCTCTGTTCACAGGCTTCCGAAGTCGAGAGACAACTGTCCATGCAAGTTCACGCCCTCAGAGAAGACTTCCGGGAGAAGAACTCCTCAACCAACCAGCACATCATCCGGCTCGAGAGTCTGCAGGCCGAGGTGAGTCTCCAAGGGTGGGCAGTGCTTGGGGACAGAGGTGTCCTGCTCGTCAGAGGCAGTGTGCTGAACCATGGGCCCTCTGAATTGAGAAACAGAAACCCCTTTTATACACATGATCAGAGTCTCTAAAGGCAGCTCTGTGAGTAGCAAACCAGTGAGCGCGTGGTCCACATTCTTCTGGGGGAGCTGTTGTCTGGAAGAATTAAGTTGCTGAAGGGTTGCTTAAGATTCTTACTGAACCTGTAGAAATGAGTGGCTTATATTGTTGACCTCTCCAAATCCTTGTCAGTCCCACGAGAAGACGGGAAAGGAATCCTTCCCTTTCTTCACTCCATCGAGGCCCAGTTCTGCCCACCTGACCGTGGCTTTGCCTTGAGTCACAGCCGACAACAATGGGCTTGGTTTTAATCTGAAAAATGAGAGTGCGAGGAAGACCTTCCTCATGATGTTGAGGCCTCGATGTGAATACGTGCAGAGCACATGATTTGGTGCTTCTGCGTCTGGAATGTGGCAGCTGGGCCGGGCACGCTGGGTGGGCCAGCAGGAAGTGGAGGTAGGCTCAGGGAACAATACAGGAAGGATCCAGGTGTGGGAGGTGAGGAGAGATGGAGGGTCGGAGCGGCGCCCCTGTTAATCTGCGCCGCAGAAGCCTCAGTGAAGCATCTGTGGTCCACAGCAGCCTCCCCGTGGGTAGCACTCAGCAGGGCACTGTGGATCCAGGCCTTCTCGGTGCCATGGCCAGGTGCCCGGAGTGCCCAGGCAGGCTGCTGCTGTGCTCTGCAAGTCACCAGAAGATGGTATTCCTAAAACCTGTCAATGTCTTCTCTTTTCTCCGGCCTCCCATCCCTGTCCTTCCTCCCTTCCCTTGGAATTCCTCCTGGTATTGAGCAGCAGGTCCTTGAAGTAAGTAGAGTTTGCTCCAGTGGGTTTGGCATGCGTGTCCTTAACTGTGTGTGCATGCTTTGCCGTTCATCTGCCCCTAACCACACTCTTGACACCTCTTTGAGTTGCCTGACTTTCCTGTCCTGTCCTTCTCACATCCAGACCCTTGTAACACAGGGCCCTCCCAGGGGCCCTTCCTGCCAGACTTGGTCACAAGTTTCAGGGTGCCTAGGGTTGGATGAGGGAGCTAGCAGCCTTCCGCCAACCCCTTGTTTCGTCCTAGTATCACCACTGCTTTTCAAAGCAAGCTATGAGATTGTCCCAAATGGATTACTTCCCCTAGCTCCAAGCCTCTTCGCTTTTCTGAGGGGTTGGAATTGGGTGTCAGATTCACGTTAACTCGTTGCTTCACTGAATGGGACTTGGGAAACCAAGATTATCCAGGGAGAGAAAAATGTAAAAATCAGAGGGCATTTAACTGAAAATCAGCTCGAGTAAGAATTCCTGCACGTGAGTTACTTGTCTCCAGTGTGGAGAATAGTGGGCCCATTCACACAAAAGGCACTTTGCTCCTGGTCCCTTACCCAGGTGCACTCTTGGGAGACAGTATTTCTTTGTCTGGTCAGATACCCGATCCCTCAGTACAAAGGCCACATACTTCTTTTCCCTGGGACGGCATGCTATCTGATTGAGCAGTGGCCAGGGAAGACCTGTGCCCTACGAACACAATTTTGTTGCAGAATGGGAGTAGCCAAAGGGAAGAGGCAAGGACAATGGGTGGATGGCACTCAGAGGGCTTGGGACAAGATGGTCATTCATTTCAAAGTCTCCCCTAGACTTAGCCAAGGATGGGCCCTCAAGAATTGTAATCCAGGCTGGACCAGAGGGCCTGGAGAACGTGTTGACCATGCCTGGAGAGTATTTACAACCAGGACCAGACTGGGCATCAGGGAATTGATAAAGGGGCAGGAGGTCCAGGGAACCTGCAAGACTCCAAACATCCCTCAGTGTCAGCAGGAATCAGGAAGTCAAACCCCTTTCCAGAAAGTGACAGCAGACCTGGAAAGGCCGCAGTAGCCCCCAGGCCGTGAGCAGGGCAGGGGAGCCTCGGGGAGACTAGCCGGGCACCTCAGAAGTGAGCAAAGGCGTGATCTCTCTTTTCTTATACTGAAGAGAATGGACAGATCTCCCTCCAGCATTTATCTGTCATGAGTCAGCGTACTATTCTGTTTAAACCAAAGGCGCGAATTTGCTCCTGTGCCCGAGCGGCAGACATAACTGACTGCGGTGAGCGACATCAGTGATTCCCATGTGTCGCTGCCCTGTGTTTGCCCACGACACAGGCACGGCTTTGTTGTCTGTGCCCCGCCAGCTCCTCCTCTGACTCGGGACACAGGGACTGAGGCAGACGGCCCAGCCGCGGGAACTGGGAGAGCGGAGCCCTCGAGTATGAACTGCTGTGGCTCCAGAGGGTTTCTTGTGTCCCTGACTAGGGAATGCAGATCAGTAAGCAGGTTAGGTTACACACACACCACACTACACAAGCATGTGCACCACTTGGCTCAGGGTAAAGCCCAGAGCAGGCGAGGTGGGGCCCTCCTGTTTATCTCTGGAATTTCCAGAGCCCTAACCTTCCTTCCTCTGCCTGGCATCAGGCATTCCAGCTTCCCGACAGCCAACTCCCACCCCTTCCCAGTCAGGTTTGTGGAGGGGAGGAGCACACAGCTGTTTTCCCTGATCTGGGGCTCCTAACCCCTGGTCTGCGCACACGCACACCCGCCATCCTTCTCGGGCTCACCCCTCCCTTCCTGCACGTCAGCCCGTGGTAACTCCACACCACGCCTGTGGTTGTCCACCCTTTCAGATCAAGATGCTGTCAGATCGCAAACGGGAGCTGGAGCATCGTCTCAGTGCCACCTTGGAGGAAAACGACTTGCTCCAAGGGACCGTGGAGGAGCTGCAAGACCGGGTGCTGATCCTGGAGAGGCAGAGCCATGACAAAGACCTTCAGGTATGGGGCCGAGAGGGGGCCTGCAGGGCGAGGCCAGGCCAAAGGAGGCAGCTGCTGAAGTAGGAGTGGAAGGCTGGGGGTGGTGTCAGGAGTGGGTGACACTCTGGTCCCCATGCCTCCGTCATAATGCCCTGCAGCCAATTGTGGCTGTGCCAGGAACAAGTGCACCTCTACACACAGATCATCTCTCCAGTTTGTTCTGAGCCATTATGTCCTGGGGCACTTTCACTGACTTCTTTCTGGGCTCTTGGCACGACTGGTCCTCCAGGAACATCCTCTTGGCCCCTCACATTGAGGTATCTCAAGAGTCCCAGAGGGAACTTACGACAGTGTGTGCTCAGCTCCCAGGCAGGCACCCTGAATGGATGGGCACAGAGCAGGACCAACAAACTGACCACAGCAAGGCACATCCCCTGGGGCAGGTCCTCTGTGAACCCAACTAGCCTGTTTCCTTCCTGAAGGAACAAAATCGTAACCAAGCTGGTATCTGAGAACTGTCATCAGGCCTTCACTGAGCCCCAAGCTCACACCTAACAACCAACAGCCCCCAAAACAAAAAGATAAAAACCTTGTGAACTCCCCCAGATTCTCCCGGGGAGCTCTGCAGGGCCAGCCAGGGAGTGCCAGAGGCCAGGGACCAGCAGTGACTGCGTCCTTCCAGGTCTGCTCTGAACAGCGGACAGGGGACCAGATGGGAACAGTGACATTGATGTGGAAGTGGAGCAGGGTGCTCTGGGCAGGTCCCAACTCGAAAAGCAGGCCACAGAGGGCCTCTGTCTGAGCTCAGACACAAGCTGTTCAGGGAAGCCCGGGGGATGGATGGAGGCAGAGCAGCTCCGGCTACATCACATTTGATTGACAGCACCAGCCAAACTGCCATCTCACTGAGCCACCTTTGAGGCCAAGGTACCAGCTTTTCTCCCTCCCAGAGCACTTTATACCTCCAGCGTAGAACTTCCCATAGCGTTGATGTTAGGTGCCGTCGACTGTGACTCATACGGACCCCAGCAGCTCTGACCTTTGCCACCGTGGCCTCTCCTGTGTCATCCTCACCATGTCTGCCATGCTCAGGCAGTCACTATGTTGACTGCTGTCTTGTTGAGAGTCTCCCTCTCTTTCACTGACCCTCCACCTTTCCCAGCGTGAAGTCTTTTTCCACGGACTGTCCCTGCCCCTCGACAATATACCAAAAGAGGGCCTTGGAAATGTCAACTAGAAAATGATGCCAGCACCCCACAGCACTTTCCAAGATAGGGAGAGGTTCCCTCATTCTTCTTTCTTAGTATGATTTTTATTGTGATAAATATGTGTAACCATTTCTACCATTCTTATCTGTCCAATTCATCAACATTCTTTTTTAAACATCTTTGCAGAGTTTTGAGTGATTGAACTAATTTTGTGAAGCCATCACCACTTATCCATTTCCTGATGGTTTTCATCACTTTTCACTGAAGCTGAGTGCCCCTTAATAGTCCCCCCAATGAATGAATGGAAGTTCAAGTTTTAAAATCATTATTAACATCACAATTAAAAAATATGTTTTACAGAAATAATCCCCTCTCTCTCTCTCTCCTGCCTCTAGTAATAGCTAACAACTGTGGTCTCGCACATTTGCCTGTTCTAGATATTTCATAGACTTGAATCACACAGCAGTTTCCCCACCCATTCATCATTCTCATGCGAGATTCTCCTTTCGTCGCTGCTAATCCTGGTGTCCTCCAGAAAGCCCTGTCAGTGGTCGCCTGGCCTGTGCTGAGGGAGCAATAAAATGTCTAACTCATACAAAGAACAGTTAAACCCAACCCATTGGTGTCCGTTCTGACTCCTGACAGCTGTAGACCTTTGCTGGAGAGATGTGATGTGACCTTTCAGAAGTAGGTCACCAAGCTTTCTTCCAAAGGGCATCTGGGTGCAGGTGGTTCTGAGCTACTAGCCCTTCAGTTAGTAGTGGGTGCCTCACTGTTTATGGGACTCAGGTCATAACCAGATGCCCTAATTCATCCTTGAGAACTGCAGAGACCATAGCCTTTTTGTCACTGCCAGGTGCTTTGGAGTTGACCGTGACTCTTAGTGACCCTGTGAACCTTGCCCCGTCCTGCACCATCCACAACATCCCTGCATACTCAGGCCCACCTGTTGTCATCGCTGTATTAGTCCATCTCATTGAACAACCTTCCAGAGTCTAGACCCTCAGGGTTAGAAAATCTTGTTCTCAGACAGAGGATGAGAGGAGAGCTGAGTGGGCCACAACCAGGGCAGCTGGCACTTTTATCTGCCTCACTGTATAATTTGGAGTTCTGTGTAAGTTTGAGAATTCTTGCGGTCCAAAACTGATCTTTTAAGCCTCTCATCACATCCAGTTCTGGTTTTCTCTCACTCTTGAGACTGGGAAGTAAATCAGTACCTTTTGAGCACCCCGCTTTTTCCTAACCACATAATCACTAGAAAATAGATTTGACCGTCTAAGGGTGGTTTGATAATGCCATCGTCCATGCCCAGCAGTGCATCTTACAGATGCACAGGGCTCAGCCCTCATGGGTTTGCAGGCTCATCAGCTGAGAATAGACCCTTCTCATGGAGGGATGGCCCAGGAATCCAGTCACCCCGAGTCCACACCTGGTTCTGACTCTCCTCCCTCAAATGTAAACTGAAGGGAGTATCCCCACTTAAACTGATTTTAGGGGCAAAAATGTCAGTTCTTGAGCTCAATGTGCTACTCGAACACAGAGCACTTGCTACAATCTTTGTACATACTTATGAGCACCAATTTATCTTTGCTATGTAAAGGATGGCATTTCTGATTTTAGGGAGTTCTTTTACCGCATGCTCTTCCGGGTTACCATACACAGTTGGTAATTCAGTTTTCGACCAGAGAAGCTAGACCTAGCCTGCTCTTTTCTTGTCTTGCTGTTATAATTAATTAAGCACCTTCGTGTGTGCATGAGTAATTGAACTAATTTTGCCCGGTGCCTAAGAACTTGTCTGAGCTGAACATCTCCCGCTGAGATGTATGTGAAGTTGTCTAGAAAATAATTGTAACGCATTTTGCCAGTTTAATGCGCTGTTTGTAATCTTGCCAAATGCTTCCTAGGAATGTCTTTTTAATTTATTTTTTTTTAAACCCTGGTTTCTTCTTTCTGAATTTCCTCAGAACTGGGGCTGGAGGAGTTCCCACTGGACCAGCAGGCACTGCTGACCACGGGAACTGTGCAGAGCAGGCTTGCCAAGACCGTTCTCACTGTGAGCCAGGCCCCAGGCCCTTGCTAGTTAGGGCTCATCCAGCCCATCAGGGCCATTAGTCAGCCGTGTCCTGATGCCGACTGGCAGAGGTGGGGCTTCCCGGGTGCCTGCAGGATTGGCTGAAGGCCCTGCCAGGCAGCTTGCTCCACTTACGAGAACAGCAGAGCTCTGAGGAGCAGCCAGCCACCCCAGTGTTTCTGCAGGCACCACAGAGTCCACTTAGCCAAGAGTGGCCAAGCAAAGATCAGTGCCATGTCCCTCACAAGTAACTCTTGTTACTAGAACGGGGTAGCCTCAAAAAATGTCCTTTTATGAACGATTAAGTTGGTAAAATTTAAAAAAAAAAAAAAGTTGGTAAAATTTAAATCTCAGGACACCCACCCAGCTCCAGTCCAGTTTTCTGATCTTTTTAATACTGGTTTGGGAAGGACTGCTCATGTGCGTGTCTATCACAGCCATAGCATAGCGGCTGGCAGGCTGACTTGGATTTCCATAATGAGAATTTCCCTGTTAAAAGCAGGCACAGTGATGGCTGCAGACAGCCTGGCGTCTGGCAGCCACGCTGAGTCGTCCCCTCCCTCAGCAGTGCTCCTAACCTCAGCAGGTAGAGGGGTGTCGTATTGTCAGCCCCACACCGAAGGGGTGTGGAGAGCACAGAGAGGCTGAAGCAGGTGCAGCTCGGGAGGCAGGGAACTCAGACCCAGCTGCAGGTCCTGATCTGCTGTCTCCTTTTCCCACTGACATCATTCCCTGCTCTGGGCCTAGGTTTCATCATCAGGAACCTGAGGTGGCTGGGAATAGTTCATCTCTGTGACCCCGCCAGCTCTAGAAAACCCCTAAAATAATTTGAAAATGAGACCAAATTTCATTTTCAAGAAATCTAGAAGACTTGAAATCAGAGACTCAGAAAGAGGCTTGGACACCAGTGTTCACTAACAATAGTCAAGAGGTAGAAACAGCCTAAATACCCATCAGTCGATGAATGGATAAACACCATGTGATATGTACATCCAGTGGAATACCACCCAACCAATAAGAAAAATTAAAGTTTTGATACCTAATAGGTTCTTTCTAGAGAGGGTGAGACTAGGCTGCTCCTTGGAGGAAAGGATTCTGAAGCTTTGTCTGACACACTTTGGACATGTTGCAAGGAGGAATCAGTCCTTGGAGAGGGGTGTCATGCTTGGGAGGGTGGAGAGACAGCGCAGGAAAGGAAGACCCTTGATGAGACGGATTGACTCAGTGACTGGGGTAATGGGGGTAGGTGTGTCAGAGATAATAAGATTGGCACAGGATAGGATAGGGTTTAGGGCTGTTGTACATAGGGTCGCTATGAGTCACAGGCGACTTAATGGCACATAACAACAGTATGACCAATGCTCATTCTGATGAGTGAAAGAATTCAGTCATAAAAGGACAGATATTTTATGTCCTCCTCATTTATGTTAAAAGGTAGATGTGGAGAGACTTAATGTTTGTTAGTGATTACCAGGGGTGAGAGGAAGAAAAAAGAATTTCAGAAAATGAGGTTTAACAATGGTTATTAACAAATAACACTGATTAAGGGTAAAGCTGGTTGTTGTAATTGCTTAAGTTTGAACACCTTTTAAAAGTTGAGTTGGTGAAAGCTGTGTGATATATTTACAATGACAAAGCAGCTGCTGAGCCTGCGTTATGTGTAACCAACCACTCAAGGTGTTGTGAGCCAGCAAAAAAAAGACCCTCAACGAGATGGATTGACACGGTGACTGCAGCAGTGGACGTACGTGTATCAGAGACGGGGCACGATTCAGATCTGTTGTTCAGAGGCTCACCGCGAGTCGCTCAGTGACACTACTCACGGAGTGGACAGTTCGGGTCATGATTTTACGGGACACTTCAGTTATGTTTGGTGCTTCTGTTTTACCTCCTAGTACATTGCAAAGTATTTCTTCCTGTTGTTAGATGCTGTCAAGCTGTGATTCATAGTGACCCGATAAAAAACAGACCAGGCCTTGTCCTGCACCATTGTCACACTCTTCCCTCATGCTCAAGCCCATTGTTGTCATTACTTGGTCACCATGTCATTGAGGGTCTTCCTCTCTCACTGACCCTCTGACTTTCCAACACAATGTCTTTTGCCAAGAACTGCCACCTCCTGACAACATACCTGACGTGTGTGAGGTGAAGTTTCACCATCCTTGCCTCTAAGGGGCAGCCTGATTACACCTCCTCCAAGATCGATTGGCCTGTGCTTTTGGCAGTCTATGGGATATTCACTGCTCTTCAACACCAGCACAACTTAAAGACATCAGTACTTCTTTGGACTTCCTTATTCATTGTTCAACTTTCAGATGCATAGGAAGCAGTTGAATGTACTGCTGTTTGCATTGGCTGTCTAAGGCCTTAAAAACTGTCAGGTGGCCACCCAAGACCTAATGGGTCTCTGTTCATCTGGAATAAGAGAAGAGTCAGGAATAGGAAGAGTGTATGGAATTTTGGCAGATTTTATCCTGGAAAAAGTGCTTCCTCTGCATGTTGTTATTGTTATGTGCCGTTGAGTCACCTGCAACTCATAGCAACCCTATATACAACAGCCCTAAACCCTGCCCTGCCCTGTGCCAATCTTATTTTCTCTGACACGCGTACCCCCGTTACCCTAGTGACTGAATCAGTCCATCTCATCGAAGATTTTCCTCTCCTGCACTGTCCCTCCACCCTCCAAGCATGACGTCCTTCTCCAAGGACTGACCCTGCCTTGTAACATGTCCAAAGTATGTCAGACGAAGTTTCAGAATCTTTGTCTCCAAGGAGCAGCCTGGTTTCACCCTCTGCAGGACAAACTTGTTTACTCTCCTAGCAGACCATGTTATATTCAATACTCTTCTCCAGCACCACAGTTCAAAGGCATCAATTCTCCTTCTATCATCCCTAGTCATTGTCCTGCTCTCTGATGCATAGCAAGTAATTGCAAAGACCATGGCCTCTATCAGGCACACCTTAGTCTCCAGACAGACATCGTTGCTTTTCAATACTTTGGAGAGGTCTCTGACAGCCCACTTGCCCAATGCAATTCGTTTTTTAATTTCCTGGCTGCTGGTACCAAGAGTTTTGATTGTAGAGCCAAGCAAAGTGAAGCTGTCAACAATCTCAATCTCTTCGTTATCCATCATGATCTTGCCAGTTGGCCCAGTGGTGAGAGTCTTTGTTTTCTTGATGTTGAGCTTCAGTCCATATTAAAGGCTGCATTCTAAGAGAGCTCTGGTGGCCTAGTGGCAGGGACCTGCAACTACAATCCCAGAGGCGCACGGTTCGAATCCACCAGATGCTCTGCCGGGGAAGGAGGGACAATTTCCTCCTGTACCAGTCATATCTGATTTGACGGTACACTCTCACAAAAATAATAAAAATTTTAAAAAAATTGAAGGCTGCATTCTATGACCTTCTGCAGCAAGTGCTTCACATCGTCCTCACAGCAAGAGGGTTGCATCATCTGCATAATGCAGATTGTTGGTGAGTCTATTTCCAGTCATGATGCCACACTCCTCATAGAGCAAGACCCAAGGACATTCCTGAACAGTTTGTAAACATTCTGTAGAAGAATTGTGATCAAAAGAGAAAATAAGGGAGCTCTGGTGGCCTGGTGGCAAGAAGCTGTGCTATAATCTCAGAGGTGTTGTTGTTGTTATGTGCCGTCGAGTCGCCTGCGAGTCATAGCGACCCTATGTACAACAGCCCTAAACTCCGCTCTGTCCTGTGCCAGTCGCACTGTCTCTGACACTCCCATCCCAATTATCCCAATCACTGAATCAGTCCACCTCATAGAGGGCCTTCCTCTCCTGCACCGCCCCTCCACCCTCCCAAGCATGATGTCCCGCTCTAAGGACCGGTCTCTCCTCACAACATGTCCAAAGTAAGTTAGACGGAGCCCAGAATCCTTGCCTCCAAGGAGCCACCCGGTTTAACCCTTTCCAGGACAAATCTGTTTGTTTTCCTAGCAGTCCATGGTATTCTCAATACTCTTCTCCAGCACCACAGCTCAAAGGCATCAATTCTCCTTCTTTCCTCCTTGGTCATTGTCCAACTCTCTGATGCATAACCTCTCAGAGGTACATGGTTCAAATCTACCAGATGCTCTGCTGGAGAAAGAGGGGCAATCTCCTTCTGTATCAGTCAGATCCGATTTGACAGTACACACACAAAAAATAATAAAAATTTAAAAAGAGAGACTATATAAAACAAACTTTCAAATTCTCATGACTTACAGACTTATAGCCATGTTGTTAGATGAACCCCTGAAACTGGAGTCCTAAAATAATCTTGTACCAAAAACCCCTTCTAAAGTCTTCTTAAAGCCAAGCAAGCTTAAACTTGTTAAAATGTAAAAGCCATAAAAAAAACAGTTAAAGTGGTCTGCCTCAAGTGCTATACTCATTTCCGATCTGTAAGGGATCAAATTGACAGCAGCAGCTTTAAAGAGTAGATAGAAACCTTAAGGAGCTGCGAGTTCATTGAGGAAGGAACAGCTCAGAAAAGAGGAGTGAGAATGGTCACACAGCTCAGAAGTAACCAGTGTCTAAATGGTACATGTGGAAGCTTGAATTAATTGGTGTATGTTTTGCTATATATGTTCTCAACAACAACAAAAGAATAATTTTTAAATAATCACCCAAAAAGGTCTCTAGAAAAATCTAAAAGATGTATCATATATATGTCATATTCAACTTGCAGGATAGAAAAGGAATGTCACTGCGTAATTAACTCCTCTCATTCTTCAGAAAGGACTGAGAAAGAATAAATAACTAGCTTAATGTGCAGGATGAAGGACTGTGGTTAGGGTGAAAACATGAGTGTTAACACTGAAACTGCGGGAGTCTCCTTTCAAAAATGTTTAGAACAGTTTAGCATCATCTCTGTTTCTAATAAGAGAAGTAGGAAGACATGAGAAGAGACCAGGGGTTAGGAGCCCAGCTCTGCTTCCCAGTGGTTTGGGCAAAGTCACTTTTCACCTGCAGCTCAACTACCTGGTCTGGGAAGTAAGCGAGAGTGACCATGTGATATCTAAGACTGTTCCAGCCAGGATTTTATCTGTACATTGTGAGGTGCGACACAGATTGAGAGGGGAGATTACACTCTCCATGGGTTCAGATTTCTTGGTGGGCGAGTTTGACCACCGCACTCCAGCCCCCTCTCCTTTCTGAACTACCCTTTACCCCTTAGTTTTTAAGATTAAATATGTATATATAACAAAGTACACAAATCAGAAGTAGACAAACCAGTGAATTTTCACAGATACCTGCTCCAGGGAAGCCACCACTCAGAGCAAGCTACACAGAACATTATCAGCACCTCAACCTCCTCATTGACCCCTGACCACTTCCTCAAAGCCTCCGTTCTGACTTTCATCTTTCTAACTCAGAAGAGTGTGGGAACTTCCTGAACATACATTCATACAGACTTGTTTCTTATGTCCGTCCGGCTTTTGATTAGCACTGTTTCTTGAGACTCATCCCATGTGGTGATGTGTAGTGATGATGGTATGTTCTTTTTCATTGCTGTATGGGATTCCAGTTCATGAATATGCACATTTCATGTATTTGCTCAGATTTTAACTAGAATATGGATTGTTGTCCATAGACTCTAGTAGGAATAGTACTGCTGTGAACATCCTCTTTATGCTTTTGTGCATATATGTAGTCATTTTCGTTGGGTCTCCATCGAAGAGAAGGAATCCTGGTGGCACAGTGGGGTAAGCATTGGGCTTCTAACTGAAAGGTCTCACCAACCACCTCTTGGGCAGGATATGAGGTGTAATCTACTCCTGTCGAGATGCACAACCTCAAAACCCATCCGAGGCAGCTCTGCTGTTCTGTGGGGTCACCACGAGTTAGAACTGATACAGTGGGAGCAGGTTATTAATTTATATTAAGTGGGGGTTTGATGGTATCTCACTGTGTGCTTGCATGTACATGCTTAATTTGTATTACAAAGAGTTCCAGACAAACTCAAGAGTAAAAGAGTAGAAGAAAACCCAGGCAGTCCATGTCCCAGTTCTAGAAACTTCACATTATCCCTTATACCATCAAATAACCACTGTTCTGATTTTCAGTTTTCATATAACACATCTCAAACACATCGAATTGAGATACAAACTAAATACATCATAGTTCGTTGACATGTCTTTTCATTCTCTCTTAGTAAGTTCCTTCTTTTTCTCCTCACCCCCTTTGAAATTTGTGAAGCAGCGGTTCATCCTGTCTGGTTTACCCACGATCTGGATTTTGCTGACTGGACCTTGGACCCTGGATGGAGTCTGCCGCGTCCCTCCCGCCCCCGTACTCTGTGTGAATGAGTGGTTGGGTGCAGGATGTTGTGCGTGCCTGAGCTTGACGTCCCTGAAGGCCCTGTTGCTCTCGTTCCCAGCTGCATCAGAGCCAGCTGGAGCTGCAGGAGGTGCGGCTCTCCTACCGGCAGCTGCAGGTGAAGGTGGAGGAGCTCAGCGAGGAGAGGAGTCTGCAGAGCTCTGCCGCCACCAGCACGTCGCTCTTGTCGGAGATAGAGCAGAGCATGGAGGCCGAGGAGCTGGAGCAGGAGCGGGAGCAGGTGCCACCACCCACCATCCCACCCAGGGGCGAGCCAGAGCCCTGGGCAGAGCCCAGCAGCCTCCGTGCCGCTCAGAGCTGGTGGCCTTCACCCGGACAAGCCCTAGGCCCACTGGCCACAGCCGTCCCAAAGCACACGTTCCTGGTCCCCTCATTTGCACCCCTCTGTCCACGGTGGCATTAACAGAACTGCCAGAGGACAGAGTGTCACAAGCATGGTCACATATCATGTCTCGTCACCTTAGTGCCAGGCAATGCTCATTTAATAATGACCAACCTCAGATTGCTTGTATTTGCAAGTTCTAGAATATTCATGATGCCCCTCTCTCTCTCTCTCTCTCTCTCTCCTCTCTCTGTAGTGGACTTATTTCCATGTTACCCATATCTATTCATTCCCGCAGTCATTTTCTGATTCCCACAGTAGTAGCTGTGCTCTGTCAGGAAGTGCTTTACGGGCGCGTGGGAGGGCTCAGAAAGCACCAGAAGCGAGGCTGGGAGTCTGGTGGCCCAATCTGCAGGGAATTCGCTAACTAACCCTACGGGCACACCTGTGGCGGTTCGAATCCACCAGCTGCCCTGTGAGCGAAGGATGGGCAGCCTCCTCCCGTGCGGTTCACAGCCTCTGAAAACCCACTGGAGGGTCCGCTAGGAGTCGGTTCTGACTGGGCAGAACACAGGACACGTGATCTGAAACAAAGCACCACACGCTTTTTAAAGGCCACCTTTGCCCCCAGAATTGGTATCTTAGGTTCAGATATTCCAAAACAAACAGCTTGGCAGCGTGGCAGTGCTGTCCGGAACCCGCAGTCAGGCGTCCTCTCCTTCCTCTCCAGCTAAGGCTGCAGCTCTGGGAAGCCTACTGCCAGGTGCGCTACCTCTGCTCACACCTCCGCGGCAACGACAGCGCCGACTCGGCCGTGTCCACCGACTCCTCCATGGACGAGTCCTCCGAAACCTCGTCCGCCAAGGACGTGCCGGCCGGCAGCTTGCGCACCGCCCTCAGCGAGCTCAAGAGGCTGATCCAGAACATCGTGGACGGCATGGAGCCCACGGTAAGAGGCCCGGCCGGGAGGCAGCCACCCCCAGGACCCCGCCAGGGGCAGGCGGAGACCCACAGCAAGAGGTGCGGCTCCCCGGGGCACCTCCGCGAGTAACTGCAGGAATTTCTTCTGATTTGACTGCTGGTGGTCAGATATGGTAAAGGGGTCAGCAATGACCGCTGCTCGCGGCCTCTCCAGCGGCTGTGGACATGTGCAGGCAGAGTGTTCCTCCCACTTGCAGCTTTGCATGAGCAGTGAGGCCTCGAGGCCTAGACAGTTCCTTGATAGCTTTGGCTCCAAGAACTCATATCAAGGTTTGAAACTCCCATTTTCTATTTATAGCCTATTAAGACCCTGGTGGTGGGCTTGGCTGTGAATAGGAAAGGCTGAAAGATTGGCCGTAAGACTAAAAGAATGACAAGACGTGGGATGAGCTCAGTTTCAAGGGCCTTTTAGCATTCGAGAGGGACCTCTGGGAGGAGAGGGCGGCCGAGTGGGCATCGTGGGCAGAGGACCTGGCCTGCAGCCTCCCCAGCTTTCTGCTCGTCAACTCTCACACTCCCAGCTCCCAGGCTGTGCTGTCTCTTCGGGGGTCATCTTCCCGAGGAATAGTTGGCTTTATTCCTTTATGAAGTGATGTAGGGTGATGGGCTGCTCTCCCCTGTGCATGCCGTGCGGATTTGTGGGATGTCCTGCCGTGGGGGCCAGTCTCTGTGGGAAAGCGCAGGCCGGGTGGGTGTTCCCCTGCGGCCAGCCTCTGGAAAAGCAAGAAAATGGCAGCTGTCCAGCTACTGTTTGCAAATTTAAATTGAACCAGAGACGCTTTCTGCCCTAACCTTCTTTCTTCCCCCGCTTTGTCTCTCCCCTTTTTCTCCCCCTCAACCATTATCTTCCTCCTCTCCATCTGTCCCATCTCGTTGTCCGTCCCCATGGTCTCTCCCCCACCCCTCCACCTTTCCCTTCCCCCCCCCCCCCCTTCCCCTCCCCCGCCTCGTCCCCCCCCCCCCATCTCGCCTCTTCATCTCTGCCATGCCCGGCTCATCCACTTCTCCCCCACCTCTCCCCCTCTCCCTTCCCCTCCTCGTCCATCCTCCCGCCTTGGCCATCCCTCCCCATCTCTCCCATTTCATTCATTTCTCTGTTCCTCTCTTCCCCTCCTCATCCATCCCCCCCATACCATCTCTCCTCTCCATATCCTCCTCACCCACCCGTCTCCTGTCTCTCCCATCTTATCCCACCGTTCCCCCTCACCCTCTCCTCTTCACCCCCTCTCCTCCTCATCTCTCCTGATTCCTCATCGTGCACCCCTCATCCCCTCTCTTCCACCTCTCCTCTCCATCTTCCTTCCCCTCCTCATTCATCCCCCTATCCTGGCCATTTTTCCATTTCTCTGTCTCTTCCTTCCCCTCGTCACCCACCCCTTAACTCCTCGCTCTTCACCTCTCCTCTGGCATTCCTCCATTCCCTTTCCCATTCATCACCTCTGCCCACATCATCTCTCTGGCTATCAGAGCTCCCGGAGAATTGATGATGACTCTTTAGAAGAACAGATAAGGCAGACCAGTGAGGACTCAAGAGCCCTAAGGGAACTCATGGAGGGAGAGAGGGGTAAACTGAGGCAGAGCCTAGAGGAGCTGCAGCAACTCCACAGTCAGGTGAGCACCTGTCTTCCGTCCAGAGCAGGGATGAGCATGGGGCTGCGGGCTCTCCTGGACCCTCTCCCACCAGACTCGGAGAAGTGGCTTTTCCCTGACAGCACCCCCCAGGGACTGTGACCCGAAGCTGGGGTGACCTGGGGTCTTCAAAAGAGGAAGCCATTCCTGGCCAGCCCACAGTGATATTGGCAGGGTCCTCATCTCCCCAGTGGCACAGTGCCTGCCAGGAGCCAGAGTCAGTCTGGGGGTGCTGACCGTTTACAGAGCATAGCTCCACAACACGTAGGGATGTTTTTCTCAGCAGCTGTTAAGCAGGGAACAGTTGGTCTCTGTAGGTCTGTGCCCTCTTTAGAAATGTCACCACTTCTGCTGGCCTGCTTCCTGGCTTTAAAACTCACTGCTGTTTGCTCATGATTCCATCTCTTGAACCTCAGTGAAAGGATGTCTATATTCTGATCTGAAGGATTGGAGAGACTAAGGTGCAGCCCCCCTCAGGGCTGGAACCAGTTCTAAGAGCTGAAACCCCTTCCTTATAGCCAGGGCCTTGTGCAGGCCAGACAGCTGCAGGAATGCCACACAAGCTGGCTTTTCAGCCCCACCCCACCCAGCCTGCCCACCTCCACTCTGTCCTTCACCCATTCCTGCTTTCTGGGAAAGGATGCACACTAGGCTTTTATTTATGTCAGTGTTCCTTAAAGATTCCCTAGAAATAAAATCCTGCATCTTTTTAAAATCATACTCATTAACAGAACTCAAGCTCAGCGCCTTTGAGTCTAAACCAACTCACAGCTCAGCCTCCAGCGGGTTTCCAGAGTCTGTCAATCTCCTGAAATGCCCATAATTCTCCCGCAGAGCAGCTGGTAGACTTGAACCACTTCCTTTGGGGTTGGCATCACAACTCCTTAGCCACTAGGCCATCCCAGCTCACTGCTTAGCCCTGGAAGAACAGGTGGGGACCACCCACCACCATAACTGTCCCCCTCTTTGTGGACATGGACATGCTGTTTAAAGCTGTGGCTTGTTCTTGGCAGAGCCCTGGGCATGGGGGTGGACAGCCAGAGGCAGTTGGCCCCAGAGCCTGAGACCCCAGGTGATAAATGCCAGAGAGTATTTTCCACTCAAGTTCAAATCCCCCAGCTGGGCAGAACAGAACACAAATGGTTGAATCTACACATTCCTAGATTAGTCCTAGATTAATAAGACTGTTGAGTAATTTTAAAGCCTATTTACATTTTGAAGGGGTCCTTCTGCTCATCCACTCATTGATACTGGCCAGTGGCTCACTTATTTTTTGTTTCTTAGAAAACTAAAAGCTCACAAGAGGACAGTATTTTGAGAAACATAAGGAAAGCATAGTTGCCATGAGCCTGGCGTAGGACAGTTCAGGGAGCCGTCTCTACCAGGGCATTTGCTTAAGGCTTCAGTCCACCAAGCAAATGCCCGCTCAGGACCCACCAAGGCACAGAGCTAGCCCACCCCCTATGGGTCAGCTCCCCCAGAAACCACTCAAAGCCAAAACCCTCCTTGCCACAACGGCCCACTGGGTGGGGTGCAGACCATGTTAGGACTGGAACAGGCAACCTCCACCGCAGGCCTCATCTTCAATACTGACCAGAGGGCAGCACCAGTCCAGCACCCGGTGTGCACCTGTCACTGTGCCAGACCCGAAAGGCACCAGACAAACATGATGGACACCTGGAATCCACCCCACCCCAAACTCTCACAGTATCTGGAAGGGACTCAGAACCGTCTTTGGGCCCTTCTAGAGGTGCCTTTTAGGCCCCAGACCAGGCTCAGTGGAACCAGGGTTCCAGCAGACGGCTCCTGGTCCTGGGAGGGGGGAGTCGAGGCAGATCTCCCCAAGCGTCCTTATGTAAGAGGGGGGCTTGTCTCCCCGAGAAACTGGGAGAGCAGCTCAGAGGGAAGAGGTGATAGGCCTGGAAGGGGAAGAAACCAGCAGCGCCTTCCCCCTGGGAACCCTAATTACATTTTTAAAAGGCAAACACAGGCTCCGTTTAACTGGTAACGAGCTGTCTGAGGCAAAACCCATAGTCAAGGCCAGAAAGCAGGCCTCGGGTCACTCTTGGGTCGAGTTAGCACATGGTCCTCAGTTCCTTCTTCTGCAGAGCCCCCCTCACTCCACCTCCCCCCACCGTGTCAGCAGCTGGCTCCCCCTTCCATTCCCGACAGCTCCCCAGACTCTGGCTCACCCCGGCAGGAGGGCTGAGATGAGGCAGCTTATTGAGCGTCTGTGGCATCAGGAAAACCACTTACCCATGAAGCCCCACGCGGCCAGGCCCAGGCCCACAAGTCCAGATCTGGCGGCTCAGTCAGAGGCCGCCCCAGCTCTGGGGTCAAGGTCATGTCTGCATCAGGATCTTGTAGAATCTCAGGATCAGTGGCCACCACCTTGACTGGTAGAACCACAATGGCTTCTTCACCCCAGATCTCAGCACCTGCCTTTCCTGGCCGACTCTCCACAGCCGGGGTCGGCCCATCCACACTCCCGGCTCCCCCACCCACCCCAAGCGAGCGCACTGCCCTCCAGTGACTCAGATTTGATCTCATGACACTGAAATGCCCTCCAGTAAGTTCCGGACAGGTTTCCCATTAGTCGGTAAGGGAAGCCGCGGGCCTTCACAGTCGCCCCTGCTGGGTTCCATTGTTAGCAGCTGGGCAAAGGCAGTGAAGGGGAAGGGCAGGTTACACATGCTGCCCCTGCTGCTCTGCACGTGGGCCTTGTCTCCGCCCATCCCTCTGGTCAGGAGACCCTCCCCAGCCCACCCGTGCCAGCTGCACAAGTGCTACTCATCTATTCTTTGTCCTTAAGTTTCCATCAAGTGGCATCAGGGGGCACTAGCCCCAGGGGGCACTCCCAGGCCTGCCTTGTCAAGGCTGCCCTCACAAACCAGCCCACTTCAACCCTAGATCCCCTGTGGTCAGGCTCAGGCCTCCTTAGTCTTTGTTGTTGAAAGAGAGCGGATATATTCAGGATGTTGTCTTGGATGTACTTTAACTGTGAGGACACCCACCCTTTTGGGGGTAGGGGGTTGAAGTGGAAGTTGCCTCAGCCTTTGTATAGACACACCAGATGCCTCCTTCACATAGGTCCCCTTAATTATCTCACAACCACCTAAAGACAGAGAATAGTTCTTTTTGTGTCTCCTTTTTAAGGAAAAGTTTAAAAACAATTGCCCCATTACCTCTCCAAGGCAGACGGCTGGTAAGCTGTGCCTCTCCCAGGCCACAGTGGGAAGCGCCTCTGCAGTGGTACCAGGAGCAATTGAAGTGGGCATTCTCGGCCCAGGACATGGTCCTGCCTGCTCCTTTCTCAGCTGGCAGGCATCTGGCTGGCCCTGGGCTGCCTGAGGCTGGGGCTCCTTTGGGCCCAGGCGGCTGGCTGTCTCTTCCAGGTGTTTCCTGGGTCTCACATCCTCGCTTACCTGCAGTGACCAGGCTGGGGGTGACCCTCTTGCCTGTGCTCTTGTCTACCTGGGGCTGGATGCATTTGCACACCCTTCTCACCTTTGGTGGTCTACCCTGGCCCCACACCTAACAGGACAGACCTGTGTTTTCCTGCCTGCCTCCTAAGAGTGCACACTCCATTGTCCGTGGGGTGTCTCCAGACTGCTGGAGATGGCTGCTACCCAGGACCTGGCAGAGCCTACAGAGCGCAGTGCAGTGGATGGAAAGGTGGCCTCTGCCCTGTGGGAGGGAGGCTGACCTGTGTGGCTGGATCCTCCCTGCTGGGGAAGCACCCCACTGTGTGTAATACTTGACAGGGGACAGGCTCTGGCATGCAGATTCACGTCCAAGCATCACACCCGCCCAGTCACACAGTAGATTTTCCCTGGTGACCGATTGCAAGCAACAGGCTCTGCATAGCTTAGGCAGCAGGGAACAGAATGTCATTCAATCTGGCAGCTCCCAGAACGGACAGGGATCAGCTTCCCAAAACAGGACGGTGCTGTGAGAAGTGGCACAGGAGAAACAAATGACCGCCCCTCTGTGGTGTCCCTGGGCTGTGGCTTTGCTTGACTCGCTCAGGATGTACCTGGCAAGTGCAGGTCACTCACCTTGGCTGCATCAGAACAGGAAGGGATTGGTGATGACGAGTAGCCGTTAAATGCCCTCTGCCCAAGTGCTGCAGGTGGTCAGTTTGCACCAATGGATCCAACACAGCTTCTGTCACCACTGTGTGAAGGTGTCACCTTACAGTGGGAAGGGTTACCTTGTCACCAGGGGAGCCACACAGAAGGGCTCCCGACTGCCAGAGGATGACTCCAGGCTTTTCCAGAGGACCTGATAGCCTGTAGTAGCAGTGACGGAAGCACAGAAGAGGCAGTAGACTTGACATGAAACCTCATTGGGGGTCTCAATTCCATGTGCACAGGGTCCCACGGGCTGCTGGAAGGACAGACAGGTCTCAGAGAAGGTGCAGCCAGAGTGCTCCTTGGAGGCAAGGATTGCAAAGTGTAGGCTCACGTACTTTGGGCGTGTAACTAGGAAAGGCTGTTCCTTGGAGAAGGACATCATGCTTGGGAAGGGGGTGGCAGTTAAGGAGAAGACCCCCCAACCAGGTGGATTGGCACAGTGGCTGCAGCGATGGGCTCAAGTGGGTCAGAGATGGTGAGGACGGCACAGGACAGGTCAAGGTTAAGAGCTGTTGTTCAGAGAGCCGCTGAGAGTCGGACTGGACTCGAAGGCACCTCACAGCGCCTTGGAGAAAGTGCAGCCCACTGCTCCGTGGGAGCAGGGATGGCGAAGCTTTGTCTCACATGTTTTGGCCGTGGGGAATGGTAGCAGCTTTCTCAGAACTAGACTTCGGAGCCCAGAGAGTGTGTTTGAGAGTGCAGAGGCTTCACTGGCCAGGCCGTCTCCTACGGTTACTCGGCGTCCCCAGAAATGGAGGTGATGCAGGGTGCTGGGGACCAAGGGGGATGTGGCCCCCTTCTGGGCCCGGGACTGCCCTCCCTTGCCACAACACAGGGACCTGGCAGAGGACATCCATTTTTCAGGAGAGGCTTGTTGGGGCCTCAGCCTGCGGAGCTGCCCTCCTACACCCCACACAGACACTCCCAGGCCCTCTTGTCCCTTTGCCCCAGCAGCACTGCCATCCTCCCCCTTGCCCTTCCGTCAGGTGACGCTGCTGAGTGTGGAGATGACTGCGCTGAAGGAGGAGAGAGACCGGCTCCGGGTGACCTCTGAGGACAAGGAGCCCAAGGAGCAGCTTCAGAAGGCCATCCGGGACCGCGACGAGGCCATCGCAAAGTGAGTGCTTGATTTTCGTTTGTAAACGCATAAGAGACGGGAGGGGATGCTCAGCGGAGGTGCCCTGCGCCCACAGCCCCATCTTCTCCACAGACACAGCTGTTGGAAGTGCTGTCTTTGTGGATCTTTTTCCTACACGTGTGGGACTGTCTGCACCACTGTTGTGGGGTGCCAGGGAGCTGGTTCCGACCCAGCAACCCGCCCCATGGAGTCTTCCTGTGTAATCTTTAAGGAGTGGGAGCACGCCTTTATGAATAGCAGGAGATTATGAATACTGCATGTTAAAATAAAATGGTACAGCCAAGGCACCAAGTATGGGCACCCACTGAAGACAGACGGCGCTCAGAAGTGCAGGCCGGTAGTCACCTTCTGTTTGCTAGAAAAGCAGAAGAGAGATGACTTTTTGAGGCAGCGACTACTATGAATACCAAAACTGTGCCCTAGACTTTGCCCCAAGGCAACAAAAGAAGGGGTGACAGCTGAGGAAATGAAGAAGGCGCCCTAGTGGCCCCCATGCAGATGGGTCTAGTTAAGATGAACTGAGCCCAGCAACTCAGGATTCTCTTCAACACCTAAGTCCAAGCCTGGGGCAGGTGGGAGATAGAACCAGAGCATGCTGGGTGCGGGAGAGAAAGGAGTTGTCAGGTCCCCTCCCTTAAATACAGAACCCAGCTCTGCCACCTGCAGCCCTGTGTCACACGCCCCTGACACTAGCAGGCTTGGCTGGCCACATGTAAATTCTCCTGGAAATGCTGGCTGTTCTCCCCTGCAGGGAGAGCTCCGCAGAGCGGGGAGACCTGTGCGCTTCCTGGTCCCCAGTATTGTCATGCTCACCAGAGGGAAAAGGGCTAGGAGCATCCCCTCACTCCACGATCATTCTCTGCTCCTTACAGGGGAAAATGAAATTGGCACGCACAGAATGAAACAGCAGACAAGCAAGTCATTTACAGAGAACCCCACTTACATCTGTAGGAGCTTAATGGGTAGGGCGTTGTGTTGCTAACTCAGAGGTTGTGCTTCTCTCTCTCTGTTCAAATCCACCCAAGATTTGGGCAGAGAATGAATACAGGCATTCCCCTCCTGTGTGATATGCAGCCTCGGAAAACTGCTGAAGGGTCAGTTCCAACTTGACCGCAGTGGGCTCTTTCCAAGATGCTTTATCGTATGTGGTACTTGATCCTGGTTCAGTGGCAGAATACCCAGTAAGTGATGTGTCATCAAGTCGCCTGCGACTGACAGTGACCCTATATACAATAGCTCTGAGCCCTTCTCTATCCTGAGCCAACCTTATTATCTCTGACACACCTACCCCCATTACTGAATCAACCCATCTCTTCAAGGGTCTTCCTTTCTTGTGCTGTCCCTCCACCCTCCCAAGCATGACATTCCTCTCCAAGGACTGGTCCCTCCTTACAACATGCCCAAAGTATGTCAGACAAAGCTTCAGAATCCTTGCCTCCAAGGAGCAGCCTGGTTTCACCCTCTCAAGGGCAAGCCTGCTTGTTCTAGCAGTCCATGGTCTATTCAATACTCTTCAATACCACAGCTCAAAGGCATCAATTCTCCTGTCATCACTTGTCATAGTCCAGCTCTCTGAGGCATAGGAAGTAATTGCAAAGACCATGGCCTGTATCAAGTACACCTTAGTCTCCAGACTGACATTGTTGCTCTTCAGTACTTTGGAGAGGTCTCTGACAGCAGACTTTCCCAATGCAATTCGTCTTTTAATTTCCTGGCTGCTGTTGCCAAGAGTGTTGATTGTGAAGCCAAGCAAACTGAAGTAAATAAGCTCATGCACACCTTGCTTACCAGGTAACCCAACACTGTCCTGGCTGAGGGCCTGCGACCACTTCCCATACACCCACCAAGCTAAAGGGCAGTCAGGGCTGAGGAGCCTCCTCAGAAATAGCTCCTGCCCTTCACTGGATGAAGCCCTAATGGCAGTCCTTAAATACTCAGCTATCCAGAAGGTTTGTGGTTCAAACCCACCAGAGCTCTGCACTTAGAAAGCCTCTGGGCAGTTCTGCCCTTTCCTACAATTGCCTTTCCTCAGAATTCGCTCACCAGACTGCAGGAACCCAAAGTGGAGCCTGACCTGTATGCTGCTGCTGTTGATGTTGTGTACCGTCCAGGCAGAACTGACCCTCCAGTGGGTTTTCACAGACCGCAATTGCACTGAAGGAGGTTGCCCAGCTTCTCTCATGAGCAGCTGGTGGATTCAAACCTTGCACCTTTGGGATTGCAGTGCAGCTGCTTAGCACTAGGCCACCAGACTGTCTGGTCTAAGGCACACCTTTAACCCACAACTGAATTTGGTCTCTTGGCAGGGAAAGCGCCTTACAACTAAAAGCACAACCAAGAAAGGGGCTTTACAAAAACAGGCCTTAGAAATGCTCGGGTTTTTTAAACAGGATTTATATATTAACCTGCAGCTTTGGTAGATTTGCTTCCCCGGTAGGGCTCCTTCTCAGTGACAAGCGCTGGGGACACGGGCAGGGCGAGGCGGGGGACGCAGGAATGAAGCCCCCTGTGTCCCCGCGCCCCGGCCCTCGTCCCCCACCCCGGGGTCCCCCGCGCCCCCGCCCTCGTCCCCCACCCTGGGGTCCCCAGCGGCCCGGCCCTCGTCCCCCACCCCGGGGTCCCCAGCGGCCCGGCCCTCGTCCCCCACCCCGGGGTCCCCAGCGGCCCGGCCCTCGTCCCCCACCCCGGGGTCCCCAGCGGCCCGGCCCTCGTCCCCCACCCCGGGGTCCCCAGCGGCCTGGCCGGCCCTGCCGTTAGTCAGCATATTCCTGCGGCTCCGGCTGCTCGTGGCGCCACCTAGCGGGGGGGGGGGGCGCCGGGAGGGCGAAGGCTGCAGCCGCCGGGGGGCGCCAAGGAGCTTGTTCTGACTTCGAGCAGCCGCTGGGGCCGATGGGGCGGGCGTCCATGGCAACCGGCGCCGCTCGGCAAGTGCGGCTGTTGGCCGCCAACCAATAGCAGCGGGCGTGACGGAGGCGGCCTGCGGCACCTGAGAACCCAGCGCCCATTGGCAGGGCTGGGTAGTCTCGCCGCAGTCGGCCGCAATGCGGGCGGGCGGAGTGTTAGGGCCGGAGTCTGAGCGCTCAGTGGACAGGAACCCACAGAGGGAGTGCTAGCCTTGGTGGCGACCAGCGTGCGTGCGTGACAGCCGGGTCCTCCTGCTCCTCCTTCCGGCCTTGCGCGCTGTGCAGCGGGTGGTCCCGGGTCCTGGTCCCCGTCCCTGTCTCGCTGGTCGTTGGCCCAGTAGCCTTACTTTTAAACCCGCGACCTAGTGTAAATAAGACACAGGCTTAGCCAACGCTTCGACCCCCGTGCAACCTGTACAGCAACCTCCCACTTCGTTCCACCCTGTTGGTTTATTTTATGGCAAATTGCGACGATAGTTACAGAACAGGCTTCAGGGAGTCTCTTGTTCCTAGGGCCGCTATGAGTCTTACTCGACCGGACAGCACTTAACGTGGTCTACGGATGTGGGGGAGGACTGAGTGGCATGTATAGCACAAACGTGACAGTGCAAGCGTGTGTGAGAGGAAGTCTCAGTGGCTGGGCACCGTCCTCAGATTTCACTAGGCATTTTAGTGAATGTCCATCAAACCTTTTATTATGGTTTGTGAATGTTTACAAAGCATGTTGTGTTCTGGTTGGTGGGTTGGGCTCTTAAGCATGCATATTTCCTAACGTTAATTACAACACACCCATTCATGCCATATTGTACCTCAATTCTCTCATAACGTTAATTACAACACACCCATTCATGCCATATTGTACCTCGATTCTCTCATTCCAATAAAGAGTCCATTGTTCATTAATCCCCCCCCCTTCCAGTAACCATACTAGTTGATTCTGTGTGTGTAAACCTTCCTCTAGTTTTTATAGCATTGACCTCGCAAATCTTTTTGCAAACCAGCATCTCCCTGGCTCTGTGCTTGGGGCTTTTCTCCAGTCAGAAATATATCCCTAGCAAGAAGCTGCATTGTCATCCCAAAGGCATGCAGTTCAAATCCACCAGATGCTCTGCTGAAGGAGGGATAATCTCCTCCTGTACCATTCAGATCCAATTTGACGGTACACACAGGAAAAAAATAATAAAATTAAAAAAAAAATTACATCCCAAGTGGCCCATGGTCAGTGATGGCCAGTGTCCCCGTTCCCATAGGTGAGTTTTCCATCCATCACTAAAATGACTGAACCAGTTCCCTAAATTGTCACATGATTCCCTAAGTTGTCAAGCCAATCAGATGTGGGTTCTTTTGCACCTTCTAATTCAAGGCAAGTCCCGTGATGAGCAAATCCCTCCCAGCAGCTGAGGACAAACTCCCCCTTTCCAATAGGCAGGCCTGTTTGCTTGAGGGCAGTGTTCATGGCTCCATTGTGAGACCTTTGGTCTCCTTCCAGTCCAGTCTAAGTGTCTTCTAACGATACTAAACCAGAGTGTGTCCCACTGTGAAATGGTGTTAATTCCATCACCTACAGGTTGAGAGGCTGCATGTAAAGACATGTTGCACTTTCAACAAGTAACTTCCTAGTTGTTGCTGGAGTTCCTGCCACTTGGCTGAGTGTGGGTCCAGGCCTGTGCCCGTCCCGTGGCTCCCAGCTGCCTCCAGGATGTGTTCCTGACCCGCCTGCTTGTCCGTTTGCAGGAAGAATGCAGTGGAGATGGAACTGGCCAAGTGCAGGATGGACATGATGGCTCTCAACAGCCAGCTGCTGGATGCCATTCAGCAGAAACTGAACCTCTCGCAGCAGCTCGAGGCCTGGCAGGTAAGTCAGGGCCCATAGCTGAGAGGGAAGTCGGGGGGCCAGGGCTGGGTTGTTTCTGAGTGGAGGTAATAGGGCCACCGGGAAGCAGCCACCTGGGTCTGCACCCAGCAAACCCGGAGCCCACACTTCCTGTGCTGGGGAGGACATCACCCTGCTCTCAGACTGCCCACAGGGACCACCTCCCTCGCTGGTCTCTGCTGGGTTTGAATTAGAAGCGACTGCGAACACGGGTCAGGACGCCTCTGAGGGATGAGAATCCACGGCTGGATGTGCAGCCACCCCTAGGTGGCACCTGTGCCCTGCCCAGAGGCCCGCTTCCTCTCCCAGGGGCACTGCCTGGGCACGGCCCCTGGGGCCAGTGTGTCTACTCTCGGACCACCAAGGCCAGGGTCCCACAGCGCCTGAGGGCCGGACTGGCTTTTTGTCCTTGAGGTTGAGGTGACACAACCTGGGGATATGAGTGTAACCAGTAATGTTTCTCCTCGAGCAGACCAAGCCACACAGGTTCAGAGCAGGTGGTGGCTCCCCAGGCGAGCCCACTGTGGCAGGTTGGGGGTGATGGTCCCTCGAGGCCCTGCCCACAGTCCAGCCGGGACCTGGCGGAGGTGCCCTGGTGCTGGCCCAGCCCCGCTCACCGCCTGTTCTTCTCTCTTCTCTCCTGGCTGCAGTTCGCTTCCTCAGGGCTTTTTACTATCTGGCTCCTTTGGTTTCTGATCTAGTGGCCTTTCTCAGTTCCCGTATCAACAGCTTTAGTTGTACACCCCTCCTGCCTTTGAGGTGAGACTCAGCCTCCCCGCATCCCACCCCGCTGCCATCGCCACCTCCTCCGTGGCCACCGTGTCTGTGCCGAGCCCGGTGTCATCTGTGCCGAGCCTGGCGTCATTTGTGCCCTGTGGCATGCCATCGAGCCCCACCTCCCATCATTGTCACGTCCACCTCATCAGCGTGGGGCAGCGCACTGGCCACTGTCCTGACCCATTCCCAAAGATACGCTCCTGCCCATGGAATAGCAGACGTAGCATCAGCAGCAGGTCACGCGTGTGCGTGTGGTGTAGATGTGTGTATATGGACATGTGCATCTGGCTTTAAAATGCACATACACGATGGAATTCATGGCTTCAAGTATAGAAACATGGTTGGTGATGTGCCCGAGAAAACACTGGCAGCTGGGGAAGCTTTCCTTCCAAAGGGCCCGTCAGCCTCCCTGGGCGCCCTCGGCAGCGCCGGGCACTGTGCCAAGCCAGGGACACCGCCCGGGGGTCTGGGCAGCAGGGCCACACGTCAGATCTGAGAGGACAGGAGGGAAGGGGAGCTGGAGGGGCGGCAGGAGTGAAAGCAAGGGTGAAGAGGACGAAGTGCTGGTGCTTAGGACTTGTCGTCAGAGTCCAGGTGATGCTAAGCAGCAGACACTAGGGTGGGATGTGGGGGTGACCGACATAGCTGCCCAGCGTTCTGCCTTCAGAGGCAGAGCTCCCCAGCTGGGCCCAGGGGGCTCCCCGAGTGCAGGCCTCACCTGTGCATGGACAGGGCAGCTGATGGACCAGTGGGAGGTGAAGCCCGTGTCTGCCAGGACATCCAAGAGCCCACCCAGTGGGGACTGCGGGCCGGCAGGAGCTGCCCTGGGTGACTCGGGCCAGAAGTATCCTGAGAAAAGGAAAGCCCCCGGGGCCGGACCATTAGGCAGGAAAGCTGGCTGTGGTCACCCCAGTTCCAGTGGGAGGACAAAGGATAAGGGGTCGGGACAGGCAGCCGAGGGCCACAGGGGAAGCAGGCCAAGGAGCTAGTCCCGGTGCAGGGTGAGGGAGACTGGACACTGAGCTGTTCTCTGGGCCTTTAGGGACAAATGGCATGAGTGTCTGTGAAGGGGAACGGGCTGGGGAGGACAACACTGGTGAGAACCAGCACGTTAGAGGCAGCCATGGCACTGTGTCTGTCTGTCCCTCCTACCTCCCTGCTGTCCTCTAGTGCAGGTCTGTTGTGAGCGGCCCTCATCTCATCTCATCTCATGTCCCCCAGCCTCTCCTCCCAGGCTTACTCCCCCAGCCCCAACCCCACTGAACGGCCTCCTCTACCCCCCCCGCCCCCCAGGACGACATGCACAGGGTCATCGACCGGCAGCTGATGGACAAGCACCTGAAGGAGCGGGGGCTGCCGGCATCTTCCTTCTCCAGGACCCCCGGCGCAGGGCGGGGCCCCGAGCCCGGCGAAGGCAGACGGCTCTTCTCGTTCTTCAGGAAGATTTGAGTTGGGAGGACCAGGCCCCAAGAGTGGGGGATGCAGGCCAGGTCCCCCACAAGGGCCCTGAGTGGCCCACCGCCCCACTGCCCTCAGCACAGGAGGCCCGGTGAAAGGGAGGCCCGAGAGGCACAGGCAGAGACCCTGTCCCCACCATGGGGCCACAGCCAGTGACTGGGCAGCACTCAGGCTGCCCAAAGCTGCCCTGCTCGCTCCACCATGTGCCCAGTGCCCACCCCTCAGGCACCACGGCCCCCCTGCTTCTCAACACAAGGAGCAGGCAAGCGAGCCCCTCTCTGCATGCACAGGAGGCCGCCCACCCGCTCTGCGGTCCCGTTGGGCAGAGAGGATCAGGGGACCCTAACCTCAGTGCACTCGGGCTGCCAGGTGCACCTGCTGGTCCCCAGGCACATGCACTTCTGCCACCTTGTCCTCCAGGGTGAGCCCAAGGCAGTGGGACAAGGGCTGTTCTCCAGTGTGGCCACAGCCGCCCAAGTGCCGGGGGGAGAAGGGCCACTCCGGCCGTCTCTGTTGGCTGTCCCCAACCTCCTCTGGGGCGGTGTCCTCCCTCGCCCTCCGCAGGCTGCCCACAGCCCACCACCTTCCACTGGGCTGGAGCTGGGACAGGGCCTGCTCCTCCCACAACCCTTGTCCCCACACACACACTTCTTAGCTCAGTCGAGCAAGCCCAGGCCACAGAATAGGCACCGCGGGGCGGGCAGGGCACGTCAGCCCAGGCTGCTGGGGCCCTGTGGCTGACACTGCCAGGGGCACTGACCCTCACCTGCTGCTTCTGCTCCCCAGCAGCCCTCACTGTCTGAGGCCCCAGGAGGAGGGGGGGCCAGGACACTGCAACTGCTTCAGAGGGGCCCTCCCGCCCCGTTCCCAGGTGGGCACAGCAGGGCGGTGTGAGAATGTACCTATAGATATGTACATACCACAGTGCTGTAACTTTTGTATGTAGCGATTATGTAAATACATGTATGGATTTTATAATATACATATATAAATCTATAAAGGCATATTTTTAGAAAAACAGCGCACCACTGCTTCTTTTGAAAAATAGTCTGAATAAGAATAAATTGACTTTCTACAGAGCTCACTGCCTCAGTCACTGGGTATTTGGAAGGGAGCCAAGAGGTCAGACTGCAGCTTGCTTCAGATTGGCCACTGTTGGAAGGTCAGGTGGCCACAGAGGCCCCGCTGGCCTGTGTCTCACACCTCGGGGGCCACCAGTCACCCAGCAGGAAGGGCCCCCTGCCGCAGCAGCAGCATACAGACCTCTTAAGCTGCTGGTCAGTGGCAGCTGCTTCAGGAGCAAGGGTCGCCTGTGTGGGCTCCCAGCCAGAGGCTGCTCGGCGCCCACAGAGCGAGGAGATGATGTGGACGCCTCCCCTGCAGCTGCCTGCACTTTAATGGGACACAGGGGTGTGCACCCGGCATCTTAACCACACGTACCTGCCCATGGAGTCAGGAAGGGGACGTTTAGAGGTGGCCCCAGCCTTGGAGGCCCTAGAACCAGCCAGATCGACCCAAAGCAGAGGAGAGGAAAAAGAGCCTGGAAGAAAACATGGCAGCTTGAACCTTTATTTTTAGTATTTTTTTAAAAAGCATAATTAGAAATTTTCAATACAGAAATAATCCTAGCAAACCATTGAAAAGTTTTGTTGTTTGACAGGAAATTTCACATCGGGTCCACTAGGACATCGGTCCAGCCCTGTGTGTCCCCCACCCCACCCCCTCCCTTTGTGTGACACTCGGGACAGGCCACTGCTGTCCCCAAATCACAGCACTGCCTGGACTGGACATGCAGTGACAAAAAGCCCTGTGGGCTCACCTGGGCAAAGGCTGCCAAACCCCCGACTGGGAAGCAGCCAGCACCCCCAAACTGGTGTCACCTGAACACTCAAGAGTCAAGTATGCCCACCCTCCCGACAGAGCCCCCTGCTCTGTGTCCCCTACAGCACCCATGTTCCACCAGACGGACCTCAGGACAAGACAGGCCTCACCTCTTCAGAATGGACCATAAGCTGGTTGTGAACTCGCAGCCACCACCTCGGTCCCCACCCTGTCCACAGCTCCCCAACAGGGACTGTCACAGAGCCACTGGCTTTCAGTAGCCTGGGGAAGCGGAGATGGGTCAGAAGAACCCCATTTTTATTGATTAAAAACCCATCAGCAGTGTTTACATGGAGAATCTGCAGTGTGAGCCGGGATGTGATTGTCCGATTGGGACTCGGCCTGGGAATCATGATGGAAATCGATTCAACCAAATCCGCTCTTTAAATTCCCAGGTTCCGTGATCCTCCCGAGGAAGGTGAAGGGTTTGTCCTGGGGCGGGGCGAGGGGAGAAGTGCAGATGACCCTGGTTTTTCCTCTGGGGGACAGGGCTGCCATTCATCTGCCTGCTGTTAGGTCCTCGTTCCACCTGAGGTCTGTAGGAGTCCGTGGCTGCCTGTCACCCCCGCTCCAAGGTGTCATCCTCTCTGTCCAGAGACCCGACCCACGGCTTGCACTGAGATGCTACGTTGGACTCCAGCGCTGGGCCCGCGGCTGACCACACAGAGGGCAGAGCTGGTCCACCAGGAGCGCAGCCTCCAAAATTCATTTTCCCTAAAAACAAGGGGCCGCTCAATGGACCCAAAAAGTGGAGCAGCCCCAACTCTGGATGCTGGGCCAATCAAACTTCATTCATTGGATTTGGCTTCACCGTCTGTATTGTTAAAATGCGCTCCTCCAGTCCTCCCGTGGGCCATGTCCCTGTCCCCACTGCCGGACCTGACTCGTGCTATAAATTAGAAGCCTAAGCTCCCTGAGCTCGTGGCCCAGAGAACAGATGGAGGCAGAACCGAAGCTGAAAGTGTAGGCCAAAGGGCAGGAGTGGCATCCTCCGCGGAGTGAAGGGCTGCAGCTGGCAGAAGGTGGGCCTCGGGTGGCCCCCCAGGCCTCACTCAAGGCCGGGCTTCCCAGCTGCTGGATGTTAGAGGTCAGGAGATGCAGGCATGAACAGAGATGGTACAGGCCCTGGAGAAGGGACACACCGACGACAGCAGCAGGAGAGGCTGAGTGACAGGACACCCACTCGCCCAGCCTGGGTTCCTGTGTCCTGGGAAGCAGCAGGGTGGGCGGGCGAGGGTCTGCTGCAGCAGGCTGGCGTTAAGGAGACGAGAGCAGAGCAGGCCGAGGGGACGAGGCTGGTTAACACAATATACATTATGTACAGACCGGTGGGCGTCCACTCGCTGGCAGCGTCCCCACCAGGCCCAGACGCTGGAGCTGGGGCGGGGGGCACCAGCAGGGAAGGGCGGGTTTGTCCAACACCTTCTTGGCACTCGAGGGAGGGAGGAAGGGAGGAAGTGCCGATGGCGCCTCCAGATACAAAAACGTGGAGAGAATTCTTTAAATAACGGCACAAAACTGAGAGTGTCCCCCGAGGAGCCCCCCGCGGGCCTCAGGCCGGGGAGTGGCCACAGGCCGAGAGCGGCCGGTGCAGTCCCTGCTAGGGCCTGGCCGGGCCATTAGCAGCAGCGTTTCTTTCGTTTACTGTTCTTCGTGAGCTTCACCACATCGTTCTGTTGCTGCTGCTGCTGTTTCGCTAGGTTGTCCTTCTTTGCTCGGAGGACCAGCTCTGTGATGCAGTTGAACATCTGCGGGGAGGAGAGGAGGCAGGGTGACCTCAGACCGGGGGAGGCCCACGGGGCCCCCATTCCCCAGCATGTCAGCCTCCAGCTCTCCAGCCCCAGATTCCCAGTCCCACCTGCTAACTTGTGTGTGTACATGGGGGGATGTGAGGGATGGGGGGGGGGGGTCCTAAACAGCAAGCATTGCAGACAGTGACTGGTTCTTAAAGATGAGGAAGATCCTAGAACAAGCGCATATTTGGGGGAGTCAATCTCTCAGGATTTCCTAGTCTCCTACGAAGGAGCGAAAGCACCTCTTCCCATGAGCTGGACTCATCCAACAAGAGGGAGGTGCCACCACCGGCTGTCACCAGCTCCCTGCACCCAGGTCTGAGTCCCAGCCTAGAGCTCAGTGGAGCCAGGCTTCCAGCCACAAGACTGGCCTTTCTGCCCGACTCAGCTGCCCCCAGCAGACCAGGCAGAGGTCAAATGGGAAGCTGTGAGCGCTGGTCTGCACTCATTCTAGAGTCCCTGGGGAGAGCGGAGAGCAAAGAGGTAACAGAGGCACAAGAGGTGATGGGACGGTGAGACAGGAACAGCCAGGTGTGGCTTTGGCGAGGGACACATCCAAATTCAACACAGCTACTTAGAACTCCAAGATACTCCCCAAACTACCTCATCACTTCGAACCTCAGTTCAGGGCTAGTCAACACCTATCCACAAGACAGGAGAAATGGGCTAATGCCACAAGTTGATGGTTTACACTAAAGCAGAGACGAGAAGACAAGGGCAGGGGAACCAGAGAAGCTCCACCAGGGGATGCAGGCACACTGAAGGATGGAGCCAAGGTCACTCAACAGTCTGTATGAACACTGTCACAGCAGAGCCTCACCTCTGTGTAAACTCAGTGAAAACAATCAAATAGCATCGTTAAAAAAGCAAGGAGCTAACACCTCTCGCAGGCTCACCAAGTGGCAGGTAATGTGACCCTTTCTGTCTGGACGTCTGGAGGGGGCAGGGCAGGGCACTCACCTCCTCTACGTTGACATTCTCCTTGGCACTGGTCTCGAACAGCTGGATCCCCATCTGCCCGGCGAATTTGTAGGCATCTTCCGTCTCCACTACCTTCCGCTCGGGGTCATCGTTCTTGTTCCCCACTTCAAGACAAAGCAGAGTGAGCCCGGTCCTGCAGGGTACCCGCCACCCTCCGGCCACTGTCCCTGCCCCCAGAGAGACGACCTCACCTAATATTCGGCACACGTCATCACAGTTCTGGTTAATTTCATGAAGCCACCGCTTGACGTTGACAAAGGATTCGGCACTGGTAACGTCGTAAACCACAATGACCCCATGCGTTCCCCGATAATACCTGGGGGGAGGGTCTCTGTCAGAGCCTCAGCCTGGGCAGTGGCTGTCCACACACCACCCAAGTGTGCTCCCCCACCTGGCTTTGCTGGGCCGCCTCAGACCACATCCTGGGCAGCAGGAAACAGCTTTGGCCCAACCCTGTGACCTCACACGGTCACCAAGGTCCCTCGGGGGCTGTGAACCCTCAGCCAGTGGATTGACATGAGCATGAACCCAGGAGGTTCCAAGTCTGTTCCTGGCACAAAACGCGTTTGAAATCACTTCAGTTCTAAAATATGGGCGATTTTTCTACTTGACATATGATCACTGGGCTTGTTTTATTATTCAACACGTTTTCTCTTCTCGGGCTTCATTTAGTAAAATGCCATTCCAAGAAGATGCCTCATCTGATGAAGGATGCGTCCACTGCGCTGCAGGGCTGCCGACAGGGTGGTCCGGGAGAGTGTCCCCCAGGCATGCTCTTTCCCAGTGCACAGACCCCACGGCCAGCATCAACAAGGATCCCCTCAAGAGATGAGTAACAGCCCTCTGCCACACTGCCCACTCTGCATCCCCATCACAGACAGGTTAGGACAAAAATGGGGACATGGCAGCCCCACCCAGCACTATAGAACCACCCCTACTGCCCCCGGAACCCCTCCCCAGAGCTGCAGGAGGACCAAAGAGAGCTGGAGACCGCAGAGGTTAAGAACCACTGTCCCAAGAGGAGGCGGGAGGCCCGGTGCAGTGTAAAGGCGACCTCCTCTTCAACCCCTGGCAGCACCTGCCCAAGCTCTGGTACCTCAGAGCCCCGAAGCCCATAGGGAATACTGTTCCTCCCTGGTCCAGTGCAGACAGCAGAGGGTGCCAGGAGGCCTCGCCTGCCTGCCACCACTGCAGCCAGAAGCCTTCAACCTCAGCTGGGAAGAAAGCAGTCCTGGGCCTAGGCCCACCTCCGAAAGGCTGGATGGTCCCAGGAAGGTTACTTCACCTCCTGGATCCTATCTCATCAATGATAAAGTGGGGGCACCAGTACCCACTTCTCAGGGTTGATGAGGAATAAAGCAGGCTGTGCCACACAATGGCTATCTGCTGCAGGCTCAGGGCCTCTCTGCCCCTAGACGCCCCAAGATTCTCTCCTGGCCTTTCCTTCTGCCTGTGGCTTGGCTGTTCTGGGATGCAGACCTTCTTCCCTGGCTCTGAGGAGTCGTAACTATGACACCAGCCATGGGACAAACCCCCCAGGCCTCAGTTCCCACTCATCACGGGACTCAGTGTGACTGATGACCTCCTGAGCGGGGGCTGGGGGCATGCCAGAACCCTGGGGACAGACAGCCGTCCCCAGGCCAGCAAAGGAGTGAGGCCTGGATGCTGTTCCCACAGAGCCCTGGGGCCAAGAACGACTGAGGGTGCCAGCTAGTGGCACTGCCAGGCGTCAGGATAGCAGCCCCCCTCCTTGGCAGGGTCTTGTCTTCTCAGAGCCCAGAAAGAAGCTGTGTCCTGAGCTCAGAGCTAGGAGGAAAGGCATCAGGGCTTCTGGTTTCCCAAACTGTCCCCATCAAGAGTCACAGAGGGCCACTCAATAGCCAAGCATACCCCCCCACCAGCAGCTACCACCTTGTACGAGGTCCAGGAGTGACCTTTTCATCAGGGAGGCTGAGGGGGAAGAGACCCCCAGGACTAACTCCTGAGGGGACAGATCCCCAAAGCTCTCATCTCCTCTGCCCTCCACCATCATCTCCTCCTCCTCCCCCCGCCTGCTCATCCAGTGACAAGGGACAGGGTGGAGGGGGCACCCAGGGCTGATAGGATGCAGCTATCTCTCTTTTTTTTAACAAATAGAGAGAGAGAGAGAGTGTGTGTGTGTGTGTGTGTGTACACACACTGTCAAATCGGATCTGACTGGTGTAGGAGACTATCCCTCCTCCTCCAGAAGAGCATCTGGTGGATTCGAACCACACACCTCTGGAATTGCAGTACAGCTTCTTGCCTCTAGGCCACCAGAGCTCGCCATCTGTCTCTTTTACGCCTTGAATGACAGGCCAGCTACCCGGGAGACCAACCAGTCTGGCCACCGCCACCCTGCACTATCCGCGGATGCCGGTCCCCCAGCTGGCCAGCTACAGGGCAGCACCCTAAGGAGTCCACCCCCAACTGTGGGCCCTGCCTCTCCTCAAGGTCAGTCAGGAAACTGAGATGGCGCTGCACCCTGAGCCCCCAACACGATGACCAGGATGAGCAGGAACTGGCTCAGGTCACAGGGTGTAAAGGTCACCTCTCTACTCAAGAACTGGAAAAAATGTATATTGCCCTCAGGCAGCCAAGTGACTCCTTCAACGATCCTGAACAGATTGAAGGAGCCATTTAACGACCCTCCAGCTCAGAGGCAGGAGGGGACGACCTGGGCTTCCTCTTCACCTGCAGCCCCCTCAGCATTCAGTGGCCACACCCCAGACAGGCTCCGTCTCCTGCATCCCTAGTGAGTTTGCTCTGCAGGCTTGTTCAGAACAGGGGGCCGGGGCAAGAACACAAGCTTGGGCCTCAGATAGACTTAAGTTCAAATCCTAACACTGCAACTTGCCAACCCAGCTAAGTGAGAGCCCCCTCTCTGGGCCTCAGTTTCCTCATCCAGAAAATGGAAGCAATAAAGGCCATTTTACCAAACTTACACAAAGCAAAGTAGCTGAAGGCCTAGTGACAGCCCCTGGCCCAACAGAGGGGCACATGCTCAGGGAGCCTGTAACCCAGACTTTGTCCTTGGGCTCTGGTGGCAGGCGCTGTGGAGTGAAGAGGCCACTTGGGAAGCTCACCAGCAGTCAGTCACCAGGACAGGCAGCCACAGTGACATATCTCCTTGCAACCCACCCCTGCTGGCAGCCACACATCCCCTGGCCACTCCCAAGAGGACCCTCAGGGCCCTAAAATAGGGGGGAAGCAGGGGAAATGGGGGGTCTGTCCATGTTCCTGCACAGAATGGAGAAGTGGGGACTCCAGCTGAGATTTCACACGCCCGCCCCCCCCACCCCAGCAACAGCCAAGAGGAAAAGGCAAGGGAAGCAGCCCAGAGAAGCAGCAACAACACACACCAAGCTAGCAGCTCCTTTCCCCACGAAGGGTGGGGGCGCTCCCAGGGCAGGGCACTGCTCGACTGCTCTGTCTACAAAAGGAAGGGGGGATCCAGGGGTTCAAGAGAATCCCTGCTAAGCACCTGCACACAGGACTCAACAGCGAAGGAACTCTAAACCCGAGTCGCACAGCACACGGAGCTATACATCACGAACCATCTGCCTCCAATGCCCACTCTCCTACGGCCTGGCTCAGGACCAGCTCCAAGACCCAAGACCCCTTCGGTGGCTCCTGTGTGGAGCTCAATTTTGCTTCTAGCTGCAGCGATGAACCACAAAGGGACCACCTAGCAGCAAAGGGGTCCCCACCACTCAGGGTGTGCTTAGGAAGGTCCAACAGCCTTGTACATGCCAATTCATTCTGCAGACATGTGTGCAAAGACTGACACAAGACCCCACTGTCAGAGAGACACCAGCAACAATAACTGTCACTGAGACACCACGGTTAGCCCATTTTCATGGACCTGAAGGCCAGAGGGGAAGCCACCTTGCCCAAAGTCATGTTACTGTCCCAAGCTGAGGGCCCAGTCCCTTTGCCCAAGGGTGGTTGCCACAGCAGGTCCCGCCCTCCCTTGCATCTTCAGGACAGGGACAAACACAACCAGAGAGACCCGACTATAGCCATCAACCAGCTCCCTTCCCGAAGTTTCTATAGCACATGGCACTGTCCCAGCAGCCTGAGTGTCGGGGGAAGGGTCGTGCAGGGTGCCAGCCTGACTCACGTGGAGGTGATGGTGCGGAAGCGCTCCTGGCCGGCCGTGTCCCAGATCTGCAGCTTCACTTTCTCCCCATTGATCTCCACGGTGCGGATCTTGAAGTCCACGCCGATCGTGGTGATGTAGCTGCCTGCACCCACAAGGCACGTGGTCAAAGGAGGGGGGGTAGGGAAAATAGCAAGCCCTCAACAGCAGTGGGACAACCACCCCAAAGGCCCAGCACATGTGGAAGTTGAAGCCCCAAACAAGGAAGCCCCTGCCACAGAGCCTACAGTTAGGTGAGGGCAACAGACAGGCTGCGATCAAGTGACAGGAAGGTCACTGCCAACAATGACAAGTGCCACAAAGGAAATAACCCAGGGTGATGTGTCTTTAATCAGAATGGTGTGGGTGGGGACCATCAGCTGGGGCCTGAGAACGGGAGGAGACCTATGACATACTCAGGTCTAGTCAAAAAATGTTAATGACCCACAAAATTAACTTCCTAATACACTAACAGGTTAGGACCTGCAGAATGAAAACCTGTTCCAGGCTCAGGAAAGAGTAACAGAAAGAGCAGAGAGAGTGAGTGATTGAGTGAGTGATTGAGTGAGTGAGTGAGTGAGTGAGTGAGTGAGTGAGTGAGTGAGTGAGAGAGAGAGAGAGAGTGTGTGTGTGTGCGTGCGTGCGCCAGGCTGGGGGCATTAAGCATGGGGCATGAGAAGGGCGGAGGGAGACGAGGCCTATGCACCACTTTAGGGCCTGGACCTTGCCTTCTGGTGGGGGGATAGAGGGTCACTGAAGAGTTTATCAGGTAGGGTCTGCATTTCTGGGAGCTCTCTTGGGACCTCTCATAAAAGACAGACTGGAGGAGACCCTCTAGCTGGTGCCATGCTCCAGCCCCCAAGGCTACACAAGTCTCAGCACTCGGAACATACTTTCTGCCCCATCTGAGGCTTGCACTGGCGCAGACCCGCTGCCCGCTCACACTGGAGTGGACACCTCTGCAGCCCCAAAGCACCCTCCTTTGGAACTTAATGCACAAGAGACACACAGAAAACCAAACCCACTGTCCAGTGGATTTTGATACCAAGAGACCTCAAACAACAGAGCTGAGCTGCAACACACTGCACATCTCTCTTTAGGGGACGGGCTGGGAGGCTCAAACGGCCAGTCTTTTTGTTGGTAGCTGAGTTTAACCACTGGTACCCTCTGTTGTTGGACATCAAAAAGTAAGTAAAAGGGAGCTTTGGTGGCCTAGTGGCAAAAAGCTATACTGCAATACCAAAGTATGTGGTTCAAATCCACCAGATGCTCTGCTGGAGAAGGAGGGGCAGCCTCCTCCTATACCAGTCACATCTGATTTGAAAGTACACACAAAAAAAATAATTTAAAAAAAAAAAAGTGTAAAAATAAGTGGTGTGAGTATATAAGGAAGGTCAAAGGGTAGGTGGGGCAGAGGTCAAGAGCATGCAGAGGAAGAAGAAACTCCTTGGGCCTAGCTTGAAAGAGCAGCTAAGATGTCAAAGGCAGCAATTACCTGGGAGAGAGACAGATAGCACAAACAGAATGTGTTCAGAGTAACAAGCCAGGAGCTCGGAGTCCCAGATAATGTCAAAGAGTGTGGCCACACCCAGCATTATTAGGTGCTCGGTAAACAAACAACAGTGGATGAGTGACAGAAAAAAGCAGCAGGAGTATGAAGACTCTGAAACCATGCTAACACCATAAAGAGGACCATCAGCTCCCAAAGGAGGACCATCCCCCAGGGGACATCAGTCATGTCTGGGGCCATGTATGGTTGTTACAACTAATGCAGTGCCACTGGCATCGTGTGGGTGGAAGCCAGGGATGCTGCGAAACACCCTACAATGGCACAGCCCCACGGTGGCAGGGCATTACCTGGCCCAAAATGTCAATACAACATGGCAAAACTGTGCTATAAGCTTTGCTGAGGTAACAGAGGGCCACAGAGGTTCACAGGCAGAGACCCTGCCAGAGCCACAGCGCACCCAGTTGTCACTGCGCTGGCTGCTGGTGACCTCATGGTGGACGATGTGATTTTTCTAAAGTAGATCAACAACCCTTTATTCTTAGAAGGCAGGGGGAGGGGGAAAAAGAAGAGACAGATAATGAACACTGTCCTGGAATGGGTGACAGGAAGGACAATCCGAAAGGAATGGATGGTCAGAAACTCTATATCTGACAATTAAAAGCCCAGAGCAGGACAAGCACTACAAAGGGAACCGGGGAGGGGGAAGGGAGGAAATGTGCATGGATGAATGAATAAAAAGCAATCTCCTTGTGAACGGTCACTAAAATACAAGTAACCCTCTATTCTGAGGTGCCTCTGGGTAGACTCAAACCACCAACCTTTTGGTTAGCATCTCAACTCAAAGTCACCAAGGGTCAAGATGACCGCAGCAATCTTACCTAGGACCTGCTGCGATGCCTCTTGTCTAGAACTCACAGTAGTCTGAACAAGGACCGTGGGAAGAGGAAGGACAGGGGTCCCCAAGAATCAGAAGCCAATGTACAGGCTCTGGAGAGCTACTACCGAGGATGAGGAAGGCCTACATCAAACTTAGAGGGTGGTCACTAGTTACTGTCCTCAACTAGAAGAGAAAAACAAGTATCTAAAAATACTTATAGGAAGCAGTATGACACGCACTATCAAGTAATCCCCAATAGCCAGACAGAAAGGGGACTGTTTTTCCCCACTTGAAAGGCAAGCTGAAATTTGGTCCAAGTCACAGAGAATCTGCCGGTCTTAGGTCACACAAGGCCATCTCAGGACCCCATGAGGCTCCTTGTACACACAAGTCACTCAGTGATGTTAGCTGGTCCCCTATCCAAGCACAAGGAGTCCTCACAAGGTAATCACTCCTGTCTTTGGTCAGCCACTGACCCAACACAAAGTCTCAATAATGAACCTGATAAATCATGCAAATAAAGCATCGGTGAGCGGGGAGAGACACAACTCAACAAGAGGCTGCTTCCTGACTATTAGCTTAACAAAATGAAGATTACTGCTAAGAGCCAGCCTTGATTCTAGCTCGCCAGCGTACTTCCAAACCCTTCTTGCAGGTGTTTATGGGAAATGAATACAGTTTTTTGCGAAGACAATTTGTCCATTGTTGTTGTGGTGTATCCTCGAGTTGGAACCGACCCATAGCAGACCCTCCACCGGGTTTTCAGAGGCAGTGAATTCCATGGGAGCAGCAGCTGGTGGCCTTGAACTGCATGCCTTTGGGATTACAGCACAGCATCCTGCCATGACGGCACTCTGGTAGGGTAACCTGTTAAGACTATTAACCTGTCAGACTGCTCCGAGGGAGAAAGATGAGCAGTTTCCTCCCTTAAAGATTTATGGCTTCTGGAAACCTGATGGAGGAGGGTCCCTAGAAGTTAGAATTGACGTGATGTGTCTGGTTTGGGTTGTAAAAACATTTTAAGAGAGCAATGGTGCAGCGGTTAAGACCAAAAGGTCAGTAGATTGGACCTATCCGCTGCTGTGAGGGAGAAAGATAAGGCAGCCTGCCTTTGTAGACAAAAATTAATTAAGAGTCTAGAAGATTCTATGGGCAGTTCTGCTGTCCTACAGAGTCACTCTGAGTCACAATCAACTCAGAACCTGTGGGTGTGGGTTTTAGTTAAGAAAATCTTCAATGCACATAACCTCTGATCCAGTATTTCCCTTCTATATAGGGATGAGAAGTACTTGTATACCAGACTATAATAGAAAGATGTCACAGCTACAAGACCACATTTACAATGTATCACAAGTAATGCAGCATCCTTACACCAGCTCAGCTACAAAGGAGCAGATCCAGAGCTCTGCAGGTCTCCAGACAGCCACAGGGGCCAGACACAGAACAATGGGGAATGATGTCCCCTGAATCCTGAGGGGAAGGCAAGCTGCTGGCCAGCACAGAGTTCAGGAGGCAGCTAGGAGGGCACACACCACCCTGACTAGAGGCTACCAGGGCAGCAGAAGGGGACAGCCAAGGGCTACTTTCTTTCTCACCTGTCTTATTGTTTGAAATTGTATGCAAGCATCTATTATCTATATATTTTAATTTTTTTTTTTTAACACTGGGGAACACATGGTCTTGGGTACAAAAATAAACCCTTCTCAGGAAAGTTTGCAAGCCCCAGGGGTGGCTTTCTCACCTCCACCTCCTCTTCCTCCCCTCTCCACTCCCTGTCTGGCCATCTGAAAAGACCCATTTCTGCCCTAGCCAGAGGTGGGGTACTCTGGTGCAAGGGCAGTGGATTTGAAAACTCCCAGCAGCAGCCCAGGGGAATACTCACCTGAGAAAGTGTTGTCTGCAAACCGTAACAGTAAACTGCTCTTGCCCACACCTGCAAGAGAGAAACTACGGAGGTGAGAGGAGGCCCAAGGCACCTTCTCTCCCTCACAGCAAACCCCACTCCAGAAGGCGATGAGGACACAATGGAGCCCATCTCTCTCAACACCTAATTTTATCTCCGCCAAAACCAAGTATCAAGAACCTCTCTTCCACCCACTCCCTGGTCCTTTTCCTTAGTCCTAGGGTAAGACAAGCTGCTTCCACGTCCCTGGAGAGGGCTGAGGAGGACTCATGCCAAGTGTCTGGCCCAGGACTTGCCCTGGCAGCTCAAGGGAAGATGTCTGATGACAGAGATCAAGCAGGAGGCAGGTCATGCACATGATAATGGTGCCCCAAAGTCAGTCTGCACATGGTCCCTAGAAAAATACACGCCATGTAGGCAGTTCCAGCTTACATGCCACTTGACCTCGGAACTGGGGAGCTGGAAAGGACCTTTGAGCCCATCAGCACTGTTGTGCAGGTGAGAAAGCTGAGCTAACCCGCTCTCAGGGATCTTTCCTCTGCAGTACACTTTCACCTCTGCTGTCATTGCTGGCAGGACTCCAGGGGTGGAGGTGGGAGTGTCTGCCTTACAGCACCCATGAAGCCAATAGCTCATTTCCACTCAAGACCCTAACACTCACACAGCACCTCCTGCCATGCTCGTTAGGCCAGCTGGCCCCTACAGGCCTTTAGTCAACACACAGCTGCTCAGCCTACCCAATGGCCTGGCTCATGGTCTCCTGCCCCATCACCCCCAACTCCCTCCACCTCTCCAAAGGCTAATCAACCACAGAGGGAAATAATTAACCTGCAGATAACACCCTCTAAATGGTGAGGACTTTGAAGTTCTCCTATAGTTCCAACCACAACTCCTAAAATGGAGAAACTGAGGCCCCAGAAGCCAGGCAGGTGACCTGAGGTGGCCCGACAGGACACGGCAGAACTCAAAAGCTCCTCCCAACCAATACATACTGCTTGGGGTCTTGAATCCAACTTCCCAGAGCAGAATAAAATGACCCAGAAAGGCACCTACAACGCACACCTGGTGAATGTTCAATGTGGAATTTAAACCTAGAGCCTCACAAAGCCATAAAATAAATGCACAGTTTTAAGGATATGGACACATTGGTAGAGAAAAGCCCATAGCTTTTATCAAGAGTCTCAGAGGCAGCACTGCTTCCCACCCTCCACTACCCTCAAATAAGCAAAGTCAAAAGCTAAGCACCAGTTGTGCTTCTCTCAACCTACTCTGGTCATCCTCTCCCGGAAAGCATCTCCAAAGAGCTCCTCTGAGTGGTGAATCCACTTCAAGTGAAGATGCCCGGACAAACTTGTTTCACCGAGTAAACCTGGCTGTACCTTCCAAAGACAGTCTAGGGGTGAGGTGTGAAGGAGAAGCTTAAAGGTACTGCACCCTCAGTACCTGGGGCACAGCCCTTGGGCCTCGGGGCTCCAGCTCTGAGCCACTTCCTCATTGTCGCCTCTGCGAGGCTTCCTGCCCAGCACAAGGAGAGTGGAGTCCTGGGCTGGGTCCTTCACCGGCCAACACCCCATTGGCCCTGGCGTCTCTTCTGCTTCCTCGGGAGCCTCCTGGAGCCTTGGAGGTCCAGCTTACTCAGCTAAAAACTGTTGTCTGGGCCACAGGGCGGCTGGTTCCTCTAGACGGAGAGCCCTCTCCAGTCAATGACATTCATGGCACTGAGGCTGACTCAGTCCCTGGGCCTGAGCACTAAGTGGGCACCAGCACAGCACTGCCTGGTGAACTTATGACTAAATGGCAACAGTCCCCGTGACAGCTATGCCACCTAATGCTATTACTGCAGCATTAATAGGAGCCAGAGCAGGAGTCTTGAAACTTAGGAGACAGCGGGATCCTTTATTAGAATTACATTTTATTCAAATTCTGCACATCTAAAACAGATCAGAGGAAGGTGCTTTGTCTGAAGCCCCAAAGCTACCATGTCCCCTCCAGCTTTCACACTTCCGCCTACCCCCTAGGCAGCTCTACAGAAAGACCACTAGTCACTACATCAAGGGCTACTCTGGCCCAGACAACAACCTCCAGACACTGCCCTTCCCTCTGGGACAAAGAGAAATTCGCCCTGGGAAATGCCAGATCGTGGGCACGGGCTCGAGCATGGCAGAGGTCATGGAGATGGCGCAGGATGGGGCAAGCCTCCATTCTGTGTTCACAGGGTCATGGAGTTGTAGCCTACTCTACGCACCAAACAGCACACAGTCCTGGAAGGGGGCTTCCCAACAAGACAAGCTGCTATCATCTGGCCGACAGGGAGGAAGTCAAGGCCTTTCTACCTTCAGTGAAGTCAAAACAGGTATGAGCTTAGCTCAGTAACTGAGAGGTTGGCGGTTTGAACTCACACAAGTGGCTCTGAGGAAGGAAGATCTGGTGACCTGCTCCTGTGAATAAAGATTACAGCCAAGACAACATCTGGAGACGGCTCTACTCTGTTACCTGGGTCTCTATGAATCCAGATCATCTCAGTGGCAGCCATCACTGACAACAACCCGGTCAACCTCAAAAGCATCCCAATGGCCATGTCCAATATAAAATCGGTCTCACTGTCATTTACCCTGCAGAGAGCACAGGCCTGACGCTGGGTGCTTCTCTCCAGTCTCCACTGCACGCGCCTTGCTCCCTGCAGCAAACCTGCCTGCCTGGGCTTCTCAGCACCCAGAGGTGCTCCCGTCCTCACCCTCTGCCCTCAGCTCTGCTGCTCCCTCGGGCTGGTCCCCTCACTCTACTTCAGTCCCAGCCCACCCCTCCACCCCCCAGAGGAGTTCACACTCTCAGGTGAAGTGCTCGCTCACACACATAATCCTGACTCCACAACCACTTCACAACGTGTAACTTCAGTCGAGTCATGTTCTCTCTCTGGGCCTCAGTTTACTCATCTGTAAAATGAAAGGCTTTGACTTTGTCTCTGACGACCACTCCAGCCTTCAGCTTTCTAAGAATGAGGATGACTGACAAAATGCAGAGCCTCGGGAATGAAAGAGAAAAGCAAAAGCCGAGGAAATGTCTTCCAGAAGCAGCGTGTGCAATGTGGCGGAGTGGGAAGAAGAGCTCTAGCTTTACAGAGGAAGAAGCTACCATGCACAGAAGACCTACTGTTCACCGGTCCTCACACCAGCTGCTCCACTCAAGACTAGCAGAGACGAGCTTTGCCTCTGAAGAGCTGTGTTACTTCAGGCAAGGCAGTCACCCTCTCTGAGCCTTAGAATCCTTAGTCGACAAATGACACAGGTGACATGTGATAATCACAGGAGAGTGTCTGTGAAATCATTTACATAGCAACCTCAAGGAAGCACATGCATAGGGAGGTCTGTGCTATCCGTCTCCTGCGGCTCACCTGGAACTTTGGGGCTACCTACCATCTCCCAGTCTCCTAAGCACGTGGCTTTGGGTATCAACTGGGTGGCACAAGAAACCAAAGAGCAAAGCATCCTCAAAAGGGGCTGGGAGTAAGATCACATAAATCCTGACTCAAGGAGTCTTCTCCTGCACCCGGCTACTGCATGAGGAATCAATACGCTGTACAGCATGGACCAGGAGAAAGGGGCCAAAATCATCCCATCTGGCAGGGAGAAGAACCAGCCCAGGTCTGTCATCTTCAGGACCTCAATACACAGGGCCCAGGTGTCTCGGAGAGGGATAAAGACCTTGGACCACAGACTGGCTTTAACTCCTCCAGGAGAGAATCTCCTGCTGCTAGCCCCTCAGGAGGCTGAGATGGATGTCAATCCTGTAAAAGCCTCAGGTTCAAGACCCCGAGGAAAGATGCTGCTTGCCTGGTTCTCCTACCACCTCGGCCTCCCCAGTACCCGCCCCTCCTCCTTCCTAGTCAGCCCCGAACTTTTCTCCTTACCTATCCCCTCCATCAGCAACCACGGAAACCTCAGCCATCCTCCACCTTATCCAAACCACCAACCACATCCCAATCCAGCTTCGTGTGTGCGACCAAAAACCACCCTCTTCCCTTACCCAGCTCTGAAACCATCACCCCTAACACCCTTAACATCCTGGGTTTCACCATTCACTTGCTGGGGCCCACCCCCTTTTTCTCAAGCAGCCCTGGCTTCTGAGTGGGGTCACATGACCCCCCTTCCACATCCTCCATTCAGAGCTGACCATAAGCAGGGCCTCCTCCCCTGACACCCTATGACCACAGCACCGAGGCTATGCTTCCATCAATCTTCTGGGGCCTGCTTCCTGACCTCTTTGTTACCCCATAAACCTGCTTACCTGCCACACACCTCTCAAACCTTCCATTCTCTACCACAAGCTGGCCTCTCTTTGCTAAAGACACTCAAGGTTCATTCATTCCACGGCATTTACTAAACACCCAAGGGGTACCAGCCAAGAAAGAGTGCTAGGCTCTGGGATGGTCCCAGGGCTTGAACAGCATGAACTGATCGGCCCTCCAAAGCTTCAGGGACTTGGTTAGCAACAGCCAACACGTATTGAGCCTTTGCTGTGTGGGCCAACCACCTCCAGGTGCATTGAGTACCAATCAACCAACTGATCGCGGAAGGAGCTATCAACCTGCAAGGCAGCGATGCACTACTGTCCCATTTCACAGATGAGGGGACCGAGGGCAGAGACGCACTACTGTCCCGTTTCACAGATGAGGAGACCGAGGGCAGAGACGCACTGCTGTCCCATTTCACAGATGAGGAGACTGAGCCACAAGAGAGGCGAGTAGGAACCTGGCACGAATGTGAAGCACCTTGCTTTCTTTGTACCTTGTTGAAATCTCACAACCACCACCCGGAGCAGGTTCTGGGGACATCTTGACTACAGGAAACCCAACTGAAGCGTACAAAGGACGGCGACGCTCGCACGAACAATAGTTAGCGTTCACCTGGATCTTACTCTGAGCCAGGGCAGGTGCTCACGCACCCCGGCCAGCGGGGCAAGTGCCCACCTCGCCGGGGAGCGAAGCCGGCGGCTCAGAAAGGCGAGGCAACTCGCCCAAGGTCACAGAGTGAGGAAGCCGGGAGTCCCCGGGCTCGAACCCGCGTCCGTGGTCCCTCCAGAGATCGCGCGACTTGACCAAGGTCACACGGGAGGCCGGAGCGGCGGGCGCGGAG